ATTGATTGATTGATTGATTGATTGATTGATTGATAAAAACTAAAAAGAAATCAAATCCTGCTTGAATAACTAAAGCAACATGATGTAGGATTTGTGAATGTCCCAAGGGAAGGCAGCTAGGCTCATGGATGCAAAATAAAATGGTTTCAATAACAACTTGAGAAAAAAAACAGAGTTGAGCACTAAATGAGTAAATCCAAATGGTGGTAACAAGCCAAGCCAAACACAAACAGCAAAACAAGCATGAATCTAGGAGAAAAACACAAAAATGCCGAAAGCCAGTGTGACTGAGAAGTAGAGAATCCTTCCTCTTACGCTATAGCCTTAATACCTGAGTGTTCTGCCATGTATTTTGTCCTAGCTTTATATCGAAGTGTGCACTTCATTTCATGGTAACTATTGTCCAGTATCTGGACAGCCTATCATATTTTAATGAGTCTGAACTGGCAGTTGAGTATTTGTTAGTGTTGATTTGTGGCATCGCCCCAGCAGAGGATGCCGTACCATGGTGGTCCGCTCCGGACTCAGGTCCCACAGCAGCTTTTCATCCTGACAATAAAGAGCTGCCAGCTGTTCACACCAGCAGCTTGGTAAATGAGATCTCTTATCAAAGTGCGAGCAGCTGGGAGCTCCATTTGGCAGTCCGGTCAGGTTATGAATCGCCAAGTGCTGCACTCAACACCCACAGTCTAAAGAGCTTGGGAAAACAACTGCACAGCTTCCTACAAGTGTTCCCTTTGAGGGAGCCACAAGCCACCGAACAAAACCAGGGAAAACGGAGCAATGACGCAATACTACATGAAATGCTTTTCTAAATGTTCAAATTATGAAACCATCAAGAGACCATGTTCACTTCAATTGCTTGTTTTTTTCTGAAACTTCCCCCTCTAAGCCCCTCAAAAGATGCAGTTTTGACTCAACTTATGAAATTCCTAAAAAAATTATAATAATAATAATTACAAGTTTTTAGTTCATTAAAATATGAAGTCAGCTTGGCTTCAGGTGTTGTTTACCTTTTGCCAACCACCTTTATTTCTCCAGTGTAGGGGTCCTTGGTGTGACAATCGTTGCTGCCAACTGCATTCCATTAGTTTGTTTTGCTGCCTTTTCTCTGCACCCATATTACCCTTGAATTTCTGATCTGTGCAGACTACCTCTTCCACACCCTTACCTAAACAATTCAAACAACCTTCAAAACAAATGTATTTTCTTGACAAACAACCGTAGATTACATTAAGATAGTATACATGGTGCTACGCTTCAGTCTGTTTGTCTTGGTTGTACAATCATAAAGAAAACGTCTCAAGATCATGGTAGTCGGTGTAAATTTACCCTACAAAAACTAAATATCAACATTCCTTGAGTTTTTTTTTTATACTGGCAAATTCTTCAATTTATTAAGCCTATAAAATACATAAAACATGCATTTTTATAATTTTAAAGAAAAGATTTTTGCATGCAACAGCTTCACACCAGCAGTACAGACTTATTCAGGCATCAATATGTCAAAGGATGCTGTCCGTATTTTGTTGACTATGAGGGAATGTGTTTCATCCACTGCCACCCGAAACCACAAACCTCACATCCTCAACAAATCCAAATTTAAATCCTGGTTTTGTCTCTGTCACTGTTTAACCAGATGTCAGTGTGTGCAGGGTAACCGTGGGGTAACTAAACTCTGCAGCCATCTGTTCACAGGCAGCTGTGATGTTTAAGTCACTGAAGTTGCTCTGCCACTGAATTCAGTGTTCAATAAACAAAGGCTTTCAGGCATCAAATGCACTTCTGTATGTATAAACAGAATTCTGGCTATTTTCACTTTGCAAGTAAATGGAAAATCTAAAGGTATACTGGTTATTTAGTCAAACATTGATTGAGTGAAACAGTGTGGCCAGATTTAGCAGATATTTGGAAATGCTCAGCTTTATACTGAACACATTAAAATCCCTTTTGGTCATTTTTACATTTATTTATTTTATTTTCTTCCCTGAAGGAATTCTTTAAGATCTCCACCTCCTTGAACTTATTATTCTTCTACTTTCTTCGTAGAAGAAACTGAACTAATCTGTCTAAAATTTCACATAGTCATTTTTCATAAATGGAGATCTCTCAGAAGGATTGGCATTCTGTGACCCTCGTACAGTTCGACAAAAATTTGATTGATTTTTCGAGCAATATGCCTAAAAGTCTGGGTTTTCATTTGCCAACAAATATTCTACCACCTAACATGAACAAAGTCACAGCGTTGTTGAAAGCTGGAGCTGGTAACTTTAAACTTTATGAATTAGAAAGTGCTTTTCCTCTCAGGGTTTGAGTTTTTGGAGTCATTGTTGAATCCCCTTCACATATTTACAGTTTCACTTATGTGCTCATTTTAATTACAACTTTTACTCTTTATACTCTACAAGGTCTTCCTCAATTGTTTTAATCTGGCATGAAAACACGGCAGGTACATCGTATTTTAAATTAAATTCCACACATTTGGTTTATTTGAGATTTTTGCACTTATTTGAAGAATTAAATTTTTATTTATTTGTAATTTTGTGGCACCAAAATGAGGTTTGTATGAAAAGTTGATTTATTTCTGGCAGTTCAGCTCCTTGACAGTTTGGAGGCTTGCTACCTTTTTCATCAGACCGAGCCGAAATTGAATCCTCAAGGCTCTCAGTGTTTGTCTGAATTCTTTAGAGATGGAGAAAAAAAAGTTTGTAGATGGAGTAAGGCCAGACTGTGCATGCCCTGAATGCAAACTGGCAGACTCAGGTAGGGTGAGACAAAGACTTCTAATGGCCAGAGCAGACAGAGGAATCTAAAAGTGAGTCACAGCTACATACAGGTATTTTTTATTTTTTTATTTTGGTGTAGAGATTAATTTCTCCTTGGATTTTTCTCTTGCCAAACAACAAATGCAGTGATTGCAGAGAAAGTTAGTTCTACCAAGTACTGACTGTTTGGGGCTTATTAGAAACACACAAGATTTTTAAGATTTTTATTCATATAAAATGTTTAAAAATTTAGTTTTTTTTTTGCTCCTAATTCACAATTGCACACTACAACTCCATGTGTTACTCTATCACAAAAAAATATACATTGAAGCTTTTGGTTTTTACATCACTGTAATTTTTTTATAGGTTTTTGGTTTATACATTTAAAGGCAACGAGCTGATGTTGTGGGCCAGTTTTACAAATTGTTATTTGTAATATGAAAACAGGACATTTCTCAATTTGGTTTTTCCAATTGAGAAACACATTTCAAATAGAAAATTAATTTGATGTTACATCTTGAGTCGCTGATTCAAAGATGGACAGTAAATAATAACTACCATTGGAAAAGTTTAATTGAAGACCAAAATATGTAATAGGAAACCAGGGAGCCATGAACAGAAGTTGATGGAGTAAATGAAAAAGAAAGAGGAGAACAAATAAAAGATGTCTGCTGGATAAAGAGGCAGATTATCTCATCTGCTGCACATGGAAAACGTTTCACCAGGATGAATAAGTCATTTGTAGATCTGCTTTAAGAAAAGGTCAGCTTCACTCAGGAGAGCAAACCTAGACACAATTAGCCTCTGCAGCCCCCAAAATCTAAAAGTAGCAACTCTCACAAGCTAACCTTGGGTTAAGATTGATTTTTTTTTTTTTGTACTTTGTAGTTAGTTGGTTGTCAGGATAGATTCATTTCCCTTGTTGTTCTTCCTAGAATATTTCTGTAACCTATTAAAACTCAGCATGTCAACTTTTTAAGTTGACCATGAAGATTTACAAAGCAGTCATTTCCTCAGATGCAGGTGACTGCATTACAGAGTGAAAGAACAAAAGAGTTAAAGTTTTGATTTGCTTTACATCAGCACATATTACAACCAGACTGTTTGCCTTGTATTCCTTTTTTGCATGGATGGACAAGTTTTTGAGCATGTGTGGAAAAATTACATGATTACATCTTTTCAAATTTGTAACAACAGATCAGACAGTAATATCTTTTTTTCCCCCCTCTGCTTTCAGAGGACGGTGCCCTCAGGTCAAACCAGCCTGGTTCTGCAGCCTCTCCTTTCAGACACACAGTACAAAGTCACCGTGATTCCTGTTTATAATGAGGGAGATGGCCCGGCATCCTCACAAATGGGTCGGACACGTAAGTCTCAAGTTATAATTTGCTATATTTTAATCAATCCTGTGTTTTGTTTTTGCGGGAAAAATACAACCACACTAATAATTATACCCGCCTTCCTCACATGCACTTTCAATGGTTACACCCTTGAACAATTGTGCAGTTTTGTTCTGGGTCAGCCTGACCACTCTAGCAGGCATGGTCTGAACTTGATTCCTGTGAAAAGCCTGTTAAAGACAGAAGTATACTCCCTTTACAGCTGCAGACCGAGAAAAAGGGTGAAGGCAGTGGAGCTTTTAGAGACTAAAAGGCAGAACATGGTTCATAGAAATATAAACAGAAATGAAGAATGAATACCTAAGGAGGATTTCAGTAACTAAAATAGCCTAACTCTGATTTATTTAAACATCCGGATATTTGGTCAAACCAAAAGAAACATTTTAATAAGTTTAATTAGAATTTTGTCCAGTGATGCATTCAGGCAGAAGAACATTAGACCCAATAGACGTTCCTTTGTTTGTTTGTTTTTAAAGCTATTACATTCTGATTTATTGTTGTATTATTGCTTTTTATATGCATGATATGTTTAACTTTGTTTTAATATGTGAATGGGCATCTCACATATTAAAATCACATATTAATCTTAAGATTCTTTATCATATTAGAATTTTAACTATAATCTATACAAAAGGAAGTGAACAAAACTCTCAGAATCACTTGAGATGGATGATAGCAGCTTTAATGTGGATAATGTTGCTAACATAAAACGATATGTTAGCAACAATATTTTATGTTAGCAGCGATATTATTTCTGATCATAATGTCGCTTGATATATCTTAAGCTTATAATCATACCTTATCTGCTCATCGCAGAGCCAACATTCCATTTACAGTGGTCAGTCAAAGGCCAATATTGTATTATTTTTTTCTCGTCTTTGGGGTTTTATTTGATAAAGTGAAATGACCAAACGTGCCTTGAAATTTAGTTTCCTTGTTCACATTAATGTTGATTCTTCATTTGCTGGTAGACAATCGAAACATTTCAGGCCTAATCTGGTTTCACTTCGGGTGCATGTTCAACACCTGCTGATGTCAAAAGTGAAGCTTTGTCTGATTGAAGATGCGTCAGCAGACGGTTTGAGAAGTCCTCGTGTTCAGACACATCCGGGCTTTGGAGGGACATGTTCAGTGGTGTGTGACGATTCAAACTGAGAAAAAATGAGAACTCTATATTAACCACAAGCCAGTTGTTTAAAATAAGCTTATCATATGCAAATAGGTACCTAACAAACTGATATTCTGCATCTGTTGTTATCAGAAGTTACTAACACATTCACACATGCAGAGACCCTGCCAGGAATAAGGTTGTTATATAATGCCCCTGTATTAATATAACCTTAACTAAGTGCATCTGGCTGAAACCGCAGCCTCTTGCAATGGCTTTTAGTAATCCCTCCCTGCAGTGCTTTAGAAATATGACTCAACCATAGCCAAGTTCAGTAAACTGTGGTGTTTTAACATGCTTTAGTTCATTATATCCTACGCATTTATTGAACTAAATGTTTAATATTTACTAATCTTGTAAACCTTCTGCCTTTTTGGAAGGTGTCCACATTTTACACATAGTTCATATGATGAGAGCAATGATGTATTGGGGGCATATTAGCAGAAGCTTGACTAAGAAGCTAATCATATTAACTGAAAAAACGGGAAATGGTTGCTGTAGCCCACTTTTCGAGTTTGAGTATCGGTGCCAGACACTTAAATGGGAAACTAAATTCTTAATGATTTGAGATGAATGTTCACATCGGAGTTGTCACTTGGACCAAGTTTTAGTCTTTTGGAAATGCAAGCAACATATTAGCAGAAACGAATAAGCAGTTGTTTTTGCTAGACAGAGCATTTTTCTTAAAGTCTAATTAAATTTAATTATTTCTGTTGTGAAGCCTGAATGCATGGAAAAACCATTTAGCACCATAGCTAATTTAAAAACTGTCACTTAAAAGTAAGAACAATGGGAGAACGTTTCAAATTTTGTCAAACTGTTTAAGTCTTATCAGCTCATTACTCCCGAAACAATTTGAAGTGACTACAGAAAGGTAGCAGCCAGTCTCTGTGGCTGAAATTTCTACATTAATTATTTTTCCTGTGGAGCTCAAGACAAAAATGCAAGATTTTTATTTATCCTTTTTAAATGCGACTTTCTGCTTTAAATGCTCAAGTGGGAGCTAATGATTTCGCTGTCAGCATGTGCATCACAGAGCAAACACTTGACTTTCAGCTAGAAAGTAACTCCAAATTCCGGTCATTTGTCTTTCCCCTCCATCCCATCGCTTCTCCCTGAGCGGCGCATTACACACATTAGCAGGCGTTAACGACGTTTTCCCGATTTTTAAATGACGGGTCTCCAACACTTGGTGATGATGAATGGTTCCTGTTAGCAAGTGAGGGATGAGATGATCCCCTGAGGAAAAATGGCAGAGAATGCAGAGAGGGGGGGTCCATTAGTTTTTTTTTTTTTTTTTTTTAGAGTGAAGACAGATGATGAGACAAGGGGAGCCGGTGTAATCTGGGATCTGAACCGGCGAGGGGTGGGGTTGACACGGAGGGAGGCATGACAGGGAATGTAGAGGAGGTGATTGGGTATTTAGAACCACACCGACGATAGATAATATGACAGCTGAGGCCGACTAATCTGAGCTTCTGATCCCCTGTGGGATGGGTTGATTAGCTGAAGAAGTTCTGAGGTTATTCAGCGAGCAGGACAAGTATTGCAGTCATGAAAGAACCGGAATAAACTGCATTCTGTAGAGTTTTCAGTAGTGATTAAAAAAATTGCAAACTGGTCAGAGATTCTCAGCCGTTTCACTGTTTTCCTTTGAGACAAATTCATTCTGTAAATGCTGCATTTGTGTTCAAGAAGTGAGATATGGCAATGGATTTTTTTTTTTTTTACAAAGACCATTTCTTGCTAAGAGTGAGCCTCCAGCTTGCACTTGTGCGTCTGAAATATCATCATCTTGTACATGTTTAAGTTGCTAGTTATGGAATATTTTCTCTATTTTTAAAGCTGTATCAACACTTTCTGAATCTGAGATTTCTCTGTTGTTCAAGAGTAAGCTAATTTCTTAAACTGACATTTCCCTCTGTTCTGGTGGTGTGACCTAGCACCAGAGAAGAAATGTTCTGCATAGGATTACCAGCATTGCTAAAATTAGATCTAATATGATATTAGGTTTAAGGAATAACAAGTAACATAGTTATGTCCTTATGTGATTTGTAACCGTTCAACAATGGATGAACGGTTACAAATCACCGTTCATGCATTGTTCTACACTTTCAAAAGTGTAGAAAATTATACGAAAATACTTAATTGCATCATCTTTCACCTCTGGAGTCAATAAAGCAGCTAAATTTGCAGATGTGCCTAATCAGATATGTTTAAAAGATGAAGGTCGAGTTATGAAAATTATCTAGTTTAACCTCCTGACTACCAGGAAAAAAAATATATTGTCCAATTAGCATTTTTTTAAAATCCCACAGTCTTTGTAAGGTAGTAAAAGGTTTTATGCACTTACTTTGTCTCTTCCCATATAATGTATTACTGATGAATGCCATTTTTATGAACTAGAAAAAGGTACGTACAAAAGTCCCACCCTTTCACATGCAGTATCATTGAAAAGCCCTAAATGTCCTCTCCAGATACCAAAAGGAATTAATTCAGTAGAATGCAGGGGGTGATGCAGGGGGTGGGAGATATTCAAGTTTAGAAATGTCCTCTACAGAGGACAAAAATGAACTACTGGTAGTCAGGAGGATAAAGAAGGAAAGTTGACATTTCAAGATTATTTTCTGTTCACACCAAATTCACACAAGACATTATGGGTTGGAGGAATTAACTGGTTTTGGTCTTATTTATATTCAGGTAACATTTGCAAGAAACGATGATATTTCTCATCCAACTTTGCAGAGTCATACAGCTCTTCTTTCTAAACTAACTAAAACTATGCCAGTTTTTTTTCCCTTGTTAAAGAGAAACATTTACCAGTTGGAGGAAATGTCACCTTAACATACGCAAATAAATGTCTGCATGCCCTTATTAAAGTGCCACATTCACATTAAAAGGATTTAACATAATGCCCTTTAATGTGGCATTATGTCTTGTTCAATTCTTCTGGAAAAAATATGCTAAGGGAAGGAAGTGGGTGTGCTTAATGGTAGGACTGGTTCACTTTATGTTTGAGGCTAAAGACCTTGATGCAGCCGTTCCAGGTTCGATTTCCTAACCCAGCCTTATTTCCTGAAAATAACAGATAAGAGAAAACGGCATTGGGCATTACCATAAAACACTATAACCACAGTGAAACATATGGTGCTAGCGTCATGACCTGGAGTTTCTCTTTCCAGATGAAATTGAGGTTGTTTTTAGGGTGGTTGCACTTATAATCAGGTCAAAATGGCAGCTAATTTTGATCCAAGATCTTCATAAAAATGAAGAGAGGCTTTATTTTTCACTATCAAAGTGAGTTTAGTGAGATGCCAAAAACAATAAAAGTTTACTTTTATTACAGAGTCCAAACTAAATGTGGTGCAAAATGTGTGGGCTCGCCTGTCAAGAGCCAGACGACCTCACAACTGAAATGAGTCTTGGGTAGACTGGATTGATTATGGACCAGTGAATACTACATGACTCAACAGGCGCCTCAATCAAGTATTACAAAAATAGCATTCATATGTATGAAAACTGGTTATTGCACATTTTTATTTCATGTAGTTTCTTGTCTTTATTCATTAGTTGTTTTATTTAAAGTTGTTGTTTGTATCAACCATCTGGTTGATGTTGGTCTGAAGTTGGTCTGGAACCAAGTAGGACTTTTTTTTTTTTTTTTTTCTGAAATGATAACCAGGATTCATAACACCTGAGATTGTCTGTATTAAGATTGTGAAGGTGAGGAAAATTTTGACTTTTTATGGTTTTAATTCTGTTTGCTATTAAATGTATATCAGCTTAGATTTGTAAAAATAATATGTATATCTTCATATATCTACTTAAGTTTGAAAAAAATTGAATCACCTGGGTTCAGATAAAGTAAAGCTACAAAGACAAAACCATTTATGAAACAAGCTTTATTTTGTAGCACAAGCTCAGAGCTATTTATGGACTTATTGTCAGCTCAAGTACAGTAAAACAACTGACCCATGCACAATTGCATCTTAGCCAAAGATGAATCTAAATGCTGAATTATCACCCAAACTTCTTTATAATGGTTGCTAAATCACGAGAAAAGCTTCTGTATCGAGAGAGTTTCATTAAACCTCCAGTTTCTCATTATCAGTGAGCACATCGTGGGAGGGATGGCACAGAGCAGAGGATGATGGGAACCTCCTCAGGTCCAGGAAGGGCAGCGGAGGATATATAACACATCAGAGGAGCAGGTTATAACATGAGGATTTAAACACATCAGTTCGCAGCAGAAACCATTGGGGTTGTTCGGTGCAGAAAGGTATGATTGGATTTTTAATGCCGAACAACAGCAGAGGGTGAGGAGGAAAGATGAGGCACAAGAGCTGGTGTAACTCAGAGATTTCCGTTTGTGATGGAACATGGTGAGGGTGTTTGGAGGTTTTCAGCTGTATCAATGTGAAACTGAGCAGCTGGAGGATTCACTCAGGGATTTCAATCCGTGAGGATCCATGTTTTATGGTAACCGAGGGGATCTTCTTCAAAATGAGCTGAAGTTACGAATGAATGTCAATGCACACATTCCCTACATATTAGCCTAAGAAAGGAATTAATTCATTTAAAAAAGAATCTACTTTGAGCTCTATACACTGTCCACTCTCTAGTTTTCATTCATATAACTCTGGTTTTAATTTGTTTTTGACATATTAAATTATAAAAGCATGAAAAGATGTGCGCTATGAAGTTTTTTTCTTTGTACTAAGTCTGAAAATAGCTCTAAGCTTTATCCAGCTTCTCTTTAATCGTGCTTCATTATCTGCTTTTCTTTTTTCTCTCTAATAACTTTGTATAAAATAAAAATATATAATTTTTTTTGGTGAATGGATTTGTAAAATGACTTGCTTTGTCTGAATTTTTCTCTCGATTTTAAACTTCAACATTCCTCCTTTTCTTTTTCTTTTTTTTTTTTGCAAAGAGCAGTGTAAATCAATACTTTTAAGATTTTGGTAAAAATAAATATATAAAAATTGCTTTTTTTTTCTCCTCCTCAGATCCTCTTTCAGCTCCTAGGAACCTGCGAGTGTCAGAAGAATGGTACAACCGCTTCAGGATCAGCTGGGATGTTCCTCCTTCGCCCACTATGGGCTACAGAGTCGTCTACCAGCCTCTTTCTGGTAATTTATGCACATGAAAAAAAACTAAACCTTTAGTAGTTTACCTTTAAATTGTGCTTCTTGGAAATCCTCACTTTTATTCAAAGAGAATATATTTTTTTATTAACCTAAATTTAGCTCTTAGAATGAGGATTCATGAACATTTGGTCCTCAAAGTCATTAAGACTTAATAGTTGAACTTTCTCTGTCATCAGCATTCTTTAGTGCTGGGTTTTCTTCATCGAGTGTGAAGGGAGAAATGAGTGAGCTAAGCAGATTTTTGGAGCATTAAGCTACTGACCTCAAGCATCTTCCCCTGCAGCTAATGCCTTAAGGCTACATTAGACACTATCAAGTGCAAGATGAGGCCAGATCATTAGAGGCTTGTTTCGGTTTTCAAATGAAGAAGTACATGTAGAATACAGAATGAGTTTCACACATTCTCCTTTATCCTGGAAACTCTATGCGAAGCCAAATAGTTTTAGAAGAAATGCAAAAACATGCTCCTTCCAGCCCTTTCATCTAACTGGCCATTTGTTGCTCCCTGACCTCCCATTTAATCGGCTCTGGCCCGTTGCAGCCCCTGGACAGGCGCTGGAGACTTTTGTTGGCGAGGATGTGAACACCATGCTGATCGTCAACCTCTTGAGTGGGACAGAGTACAGTGTCAAGGTCATCGCGTCCTACACCACAGGATCCAGCGAGGCTCTAACAGGAAAGGCCAAGACTTGTGAGTTCAGCTTCCTTCACTTTGATTTAACTCCACAGTTTCTCTCTTGTGCTTTTGGCTCAACGTCAAATTTCCTTTTGCACAGTGTTCTTAAACAAGAAGAGCTTATTGTGATTGTACACTTCATTTCTTTTCTTATGTTTGGAGTTAGTTTTGAAAACATTCTCCTTTGTTTAACTGCTTCTGATGAAATCATTGCAACAGCTCTCAAAAGTGTACACGCCCATGTTAGCATATCAGGTTTTTGTGATGACAAGATAAGACCCCGATAAATAATCTCAAAAGTTCTACAGCCTCAGTGTTAAAAAATATTATTTTGTAAAGGCACTGTACTATGTAAAATTGATGTTATTCCCTCATCAAAAGCATACTTGGAGTGTTGCTTTCATGCATATTTGAGCATACATTAAACCTTTCTGCTTTGCAAAATGCTGAGGATACAGAGCACCGCCTGTAGGGACGAAGCTCCTCCTCGGTAGCTGCAGTTTCCAAGTTTCCAAACTCCTTTCTCGCAGAGCACCACTCCCTGAAGCTTCCCTCACTCAGCTCCTTCAGACTAGTCAGCAGCCATTAGAAAACACCTGAAGGAACCGTAAATATGCTGAGCTTATTATACTTATACTCCTCAGTGCAGCGCTTGTAAAAGGGTTAATAGAGAAACAATGTTGGGACGACTTCCTGAAGGCAGTGTGTCAGAAAGCGCAAGAGTTTCTTAAAAAGACAGACACCCAATTTCAAGGTGTTGAACTACAAGGTTACATTTCTTTTAAGACATATCTGATATATTTTTATTACAACTGAAGGCAACACTGTTACCTGATTGTGCTACAAAATGTCACAATGTGGCTGGAAAACATAATACTGGCCCTTTAATTCAACAAGAAAACAGAGAAGAAATGGAAAATATAAAATCTTAAATCTGGTTTCATTAGTGTACATTAAGGTAAACTAAAACCTTAACCAAACACCTTTTGATTTGCAATATTTTTACTGTTCACTTCAACTGAACAAGATGTCTGTCAATCTATCAACTCAGTTTCTGATCAATCTGAGTGACTTTAATTGAATCAATTTTAGAAGATTTTTTTGTACAACAGAACTATAAACCTAATTAGCCAATGGTCATGAAATTTGGGTCATGAAATGAACTTTCCCTGCAGGGTTGCTGGGTAGTCCCTTAAAAAAAGGTGAGGAGCTCGGCCATCTGGTAGAGGCTCTGAGTTGAGCTGATCTAAACAATCACCTTTAGTTAATCATCAAAGCAGCTGAACATCGACATCCAGCAGCAGTTGTTAAATTAACTAGATACGATAGCTCAAAGTTATGATTGCTGATGTAAAGCCTTCCCAACACTCCTTGAGAGTCTGTCCTGAATTATTTAATCAGTTCCTCTCAACTAAAATAATTTGAGTTGAAACCTTCATGTTCCTCTCCCGCGTCATAATTAACCTCTTCTCAGCAGCCTGGTCCGTTCGTGTGCAGCTCCGTTTGAACCTCCGATGTCACCAGCTTGTGAAAGTCAAAGCCACTAACAGAAAGCATGCCCTTTCGTGGTGTCCTTGAGCCCGACAGTTAAACCCAACCCCATCATCCATTTTCATTACTCTGTTTGCAGGGCAAGTGTCAGCTAAAGGCAGAAGCATGTACCTTTTTAAATATAGCGCACATGCCTTGGTGGCGTTTTTCACTGACTGCATACCAATGAGCAGGCTCGCGGTGGTTAAATAAAGGACACATTTTGCAAGACAAAGGCGAGAGCAGAGGAGAGTAAACTGAAAAAGATGGAAAGATGGGTTTATATGACAAGAGGGAAGGCTGATTAGGCTGCAGATGTCCCAGAAGGGGAATACAGTGTCTGTGATATTGCTCAGCAGCATGTTAATGAAACCAGTGAGCCAGCAGAGATGAACGGACTGATGCGTCAATGTCACACAATCACAAGTATTGGAACTTTTGAGATGAAAAGTAGGGAGTTTTCTTTCTTCTTTTAAGACGTGTTATCTGTAAATTTTGATGTCCCTCCAGAATATTTGGAAAAATAAATTTGTGAACATTCACTTTTTGTGCAATTAAACTCATCAAGTCATTAAGAAGGAAAAATATAAACTTATTTATTGTAAAGACCCACCAGCAACTTAGTTTTTTTTTATATATATTTGGTTTCATAGACTTGGAAATGATCTGAAAACAATGTTTGCCAAAAAGCTGGAATTGCTCCTAAGTCTGATTGGAAAAATCCCAGGTCCTGAAAGAATTTTTACATCCTTGAACATCAATTCAATTCACTTAAAAAAGAATCTATTTATACCAGAAAGAAATTAAGTGTTGTGGATTGTGGTGTTGTAGCCAGGAATGCAAGGAGATGAAACTCATGAATTAAATACTTAATTAAAAATATTCTGTTTTTTTTTTTTGTTTTTTTTTTTTTTGGGGGGGGGGGGGGCAGGGGGGGTTATTCAGTGTAAAATAAAGCAAGCTTTTCAAGGCCATTACCAACTTATATAAACATGAATTGTAATGTCTCTCTTAGAACAAGTGATGCTTTCTAAAGTCAGATCTAAAAGCCGTTCCAGCCATTTGCATAAATAGACTGTGTGGGTTTGTTTAGGATTGTATGTAAAACCTACTCTTTTTTTTTTTTTTGGAAACTCAGTGCAGCTACATTTCTCCATATGTCTGCAAATAGCTTCATGAAAATGCAGTGTGGTGTTTTTTAAGCTAACCAGCTGTATGCTTTAGGTTCGTCATCTGGAATCATGATTGCATGTGGTTTCTCTGATGTGACTCTATGCGGCTTTGTGTGCCGCTATTATAGCAGCATGGAGAGAAGAATGCTCATGAATCTCCACCGACTATTTTTAGAGACCCAAAAAAGTTTTATGTTTCTGATCTATTTCTGTTTAAAATGTAGAATCATATATGTGAGCATTGCTAGAAAAGTCAGAGGCACTAACCAACACCTGCCGTAACTTACAGTTACTGTAATTGCTTTGGGGGGAATAAAGACTGAAGCAAATGAAAACTTGATGTTTTCTGCATGAAATCTGCATCTTTTTCTTAAAATTATTTTTATTTCTCTGCCTTTTCAACAGTGTATCTTGGAGTAACCAATTTGAGCACATATCAAGTGAGGATGTCTAGTGTTTGTGCTCAGTGGGTGCCTCACCAGCATGCCAGTACCTACAGACTGGTTATTCAATCTGTGACTGGTGAGTACCATTATGTCTACACTCTTAAAGCTGTGATTAAAAATCCACTCTGAAACAGAAGTGGCACAAAAGCAAAAAGACAAAGTCTAAAAAAAGGACAATAATAATAAGAATTTAGAGTTCACTGGATCTGCATAAATGTAGAAATGTAAATGTCAAATTTAGAAATAAAGAATAATTACATTTTTCATTTTTTGTTTAATTATCCAGGTTGCTATATGAAGAGATAAAGTATGCAAACGCGTGCACACAAGTTTTGTAACTACATCACTCTTGATTTCAGTATCAGGTTTTAAAAGAACTGTTGCAGTTCTACTAAACTGTGCCTTACCTCAGCTGCATCACACTGTATTTCCAGTAGTAATTCTCTTCATTATTCCATGCTGAGCTCCCACAACGAATTTCTGAGCTGGTTGCGAAGGAACTCATTCATACTCGCATGTTTTCATGAGGAGGAGTTCGAATTCCTAATTAGCCCAAGATCACAGAGGTTCCGTTGTGTTCCACTTGAGATGTGCTGACAGTCGTAAAGATTTAGCTGTACAATCAAACACTGAGCTTTTCTGTTGAAAAAAAAAGGGCTTTTGGATTACAGCTCTGGTGACATTTACATTTCCTGTGTGGAGTAAAGTGGAGCAAAAAAGACAAAGGGGTATTATGGGTGCTAAATGAGGAGGTGTTCTGGTTACGTGATTGACAGTAATTATGTCTTGTTGAGTCTGTTCTGGGAGGTGTGCTTTAAAGAAGAAAAGACAAAATGGAATTGGTGTTCTGAAGTTTTCTCTAAACATTTAGTAGCACCTGGAGTCAGTTTTCTTATTGAGAGAAAATTGTTTCCCTGAAACAATAAAACCAAACAACTCCTTCTGTCTGAAGCACCCTGTGGTGAGATGTGGGCGTTTTGGAAAGAAGTGAAACCTGCTTTAGAGAGTCCCTGCAGACACAAGTGTCTGTCGGAACTGATCTTCTGACTTACTTTTGAAATGCTTGAAATGTTTACTGCAGTGTCCCTTTTTGTATAATTAAGTGTTTTATGCAGATATAAACTGTTTTGTGTTTTTATAACATAATGAAGGAGAAATTTAGGCAGCCTGTCAGCTAAACTTGAAATATGCCAGAGTTTTGCTTTTGAATTTTCTCCCATTAGTTACATATTTACTCCCTCCTGTCACTGTCTTGCTATTGTGATCCATAGATGTTTGATACTTAAGTTTAATTTGTGTTTCCATTTTATTAATTTCTTAATTGATTATCTACTTAGATCTGGACTTATTTAACTTTTGGTTTATTAGTATTTTATGGATTTGGTATAGACGCCTTAGGTTATTGTTCATTCCTGTTTACTTAGTTTCAGGCTCAATTATATTGTCTCCCTTTGGTTTACCTTTCACCCCTTCCCAGCTGTTTTCTACTGCATCTTCTCATCTCTTCTCTTTTTCAGCTGCTTCCACTTCTCCATGACTAGCTCTTGTGGTTCCTTTGCCACTTTCATCTCTCTCCACTTCAGATTCAGGAACAGCAGTACGATTTTCATCCTGGCTTTAGGACAGTGGACCAACCCTCTTAGAATTGCTGATAGAGTCTTGGGAGTTGGATTGTTTTTTTGTGGATCTGGAGAAGTCAATATTTTGACTTTCTTCTTTCCACTTTGAGTTCCTGATCAGAATGCCTCTTGAGCACATTTTTTTGGTGGCTTTATGGTACATCCTGCTAGGAAGGATACATGGGAGAATCCCCATAATTCACTGGAGGAACTGTACTCTCTACGCTCCCCTTCTTGGGGAGAGGGGGACTTTTTTAATTAAAGTGTTGCATGAAAATATAAAGACATGGGATCTTCAACAAAATAAGTGAATTTTTCTTTTACATTTTTATATCTGCTATATTCATTTTCTCAAAAGCACAAAATACAGGTTGCTCCTTGGATTTGTATTATTTTACCATTTTCCTAAACTGTGCCGAAGTGAAAAAGAAGTAAAACTGTTTCCATTTAACAGGTTTGCATTGATTGTGTTCTTGATTAATTAACTCTCTGTCAGAACTGGACACACAGGCACCGTTAAAGGTCTTTCAAGCTAGCTCTTACTGAGACTATTTGGTTTTTCTTCATGTTTTTGTTTTATAATCTGTAATAATCTGGCTCCGCATACTTTGAAAAGACAGTTTCCTTTATGTCTTAAAACTGCTCCCAGAGTTTTTATGAAACTTGTATTTGTGTTTCTATTGCAATTTAATGTGGTCTTTTACTTCAGCTGTCCAAACAATCCCAGTCTCCCATATAAACAATTATTATCGCAATTTACCCGGCACTTTCTTTCTGCAGCCTCAAACAGAAATAATTGTCTATTTTCTCGTTTTGAAGAGATAAAACAGTCCAACTCCCCAAAATAACACCAAACAACAGATGGCGTTGCCCTTATTCAATTTCCCAGGTACACCTCTCAGTCTCCGCCTCAAAGATGAGATTGACTTTTAATACAGCCGTCATCCACCAAATAGGAAAGTAATGGCTGTTATTCATCACCTTTAGGCCTTCAGCAATACCACTGCAATCATTAACGTCACATAAAAGCCACATATCCCCTCGTGTTTCCTCAGGGAGCTCCAATGTATTGGTTTCTTTCAACACACACAATGGAGGTAAATGAGGATTTATGTCAGCACAGCTGGTATGTAATTACCCTAGAGATGTTTCTGCTGCAGGAGAAACTGGAATGATGTGCTTCTTATCCCATTTTTGATAAGGAAGGTTATAAAGTGAGACAGGGGAAAGTAAATTTAGGAAAACGAAACAAAATCTCAAACACGTATTGTAAAGTAGATGAGGGTAAAACCTTTGGTGCTGAAGAGCGTTGATGAACAAGCAAGTTTAAAGAGGTTTGAGATAATTAGATTTTCCTCAATTTTATTTTGTTGGCTGCCGTTTGTAAACACTGTTTCTGTTTTTTAGGATTGTAAGAGTAGATTGATCTTCTATCTGTCAGCATTATATCGTCTAAACCATACTTAGTTTGACAGTGAGCTTTTTAATCTTAACAGAACACATAAATTTAAAATATTTAAAATATTTTGACAGCTTGAAATAATTCAACACAATAATTCTAAAAGTGGCACAAACAACATAACAATAAAATAAAATTTAGCACATCTATTTAAATTAGCTCCAGCTTTTGCCTTTATAAACATGAAGCTTCCTCAAACGTCGCACTTATTCAGTCTGATCTGGAACTGTTTTTAGGCACAGTTGCATTCAGTAACTGTTTTAAAAACATAATGTTTCTAACTATTAACATATTTATTTGAAAGGCAAATAATTTTTGCTGTCAGATAAGCTGTTAGTGGGAGCACAATAAGCTTTTTTCCTAATTCTTCCTATTGTCTTTTTCCAGCATGAAAAACTGATTGTTTTTCCCAACATTTCTAGACAGACTTTTATTTTTTATTGTGTCCAATTTTGCAAAACTATTTTGACGTTTTTGTTTGGACATCTGTGTGTGGTTTTCAACACAATGGTCAGTGACACTGCTAGAAAGAATGTTGTTATACTCTTAGATTTCTGATGAAATTGTGTATTTTGCAGTTTAAAATCTCTGTTTTTTTTTTTTACTAGGTTCTCGAAGTTTTTTTTTCCAAAATAACATTTCATGCAGAAATATCACACTTTCTTGTTGTTGTTTGATTGTTAATTTTATCTGTTTGCGACTGCAGGTAGTCAGAAGCAGGAGACGAAGCTCGGTGGAGGCGCCAGCAGACACTGTTTCAGCAGCCTGAAGCCCAACATGGAGTATAAGATCAGCATATTCTCTCAGCTGCAGGACGGGACTGAAGGACCTGCTGTCACTGCAAATGTGAAGACATGTAAGAAAATCCAAGCACACAAGCTCAAGCAATAAAAGCGTCCAGATTAGTGTGTTCATTATTAGATTTGTCTCATGGCTTAATTATTAAGCAATAAACATTAACATTTTGAAATCTGTACAGAAAACAGATGTTTAGTGCAGACATTCTCCACACATACTCGACTCATCTCCCTGTATATTTGCATCTCCTGTAATGCGTCCAAAATCCCCTTTAAATATGCTTGTGCAGGTGTGATCACAATATAACGGCAACACACTCACCACGCACGCATACTCTTCATCTAACTGCTGTCAGCTGTTATTGTTTAGAAGAGAAGAGACCGGAGTACAATCACGTCACTTTCCCCAGAAAATGTCTTTTATCCTTGTGGGAGCACCGCATCCTCGTCCGTCTTTCAGAATGAGGCTTTTGTTCTGCCGCAGCCGCTCCAAACTCTAATCAAGAGCCAGTGTCTGGAGACGAGGCGGAGGAGGAGGGAGGCTGTTGGGACGTGTGGGCTGCTTTGTCATTTTGTTTACCATAAGCGTCATGGAGCACGATTTTAATAAATCAGGGTAATAGTCAACAGAAAGTTTTGTTGTTGGTATTATAAACAGAGTGATAAGTGTCCTTAGAAGGTTGGTTTTTTTATTACGCGTGACATCAGATGGCAACTAGACGTTACAGTTTCACATGTTATAGTTTGCATCAATAGTTTGAAGGCTTTTAAAGAAAAAAAATGATAAAGGAAAACATTAGAATGTGAAAAGCCTTTAAAAAATAGTCATATATTTTTTTCTATTTATTTTTTTGCTGCAACCACAATCATTAATGGATGTTGTTTTATTCAGGTTTTATGTGATGGATTAACACAAAGTACTAAATAATTGCAGTGTGGAAGGAAAGTGATTTAGTGGTTTTTAATGTTCCTCTTACTGCAGTATTGGGGGATGCCTCCACCTCCTCAACTCTATCGAACCCTTTAACTCTATAACTTCATTGTCTTTGGATCCCCTCAACATAACTGTAGGGATTAATACAGTAACAAGTCATTTAAGAGTTCATAGAACAAAGCTCCTTTGCAAATTCAGTAACACATTTCACATAATATATGCAGAATTAGACATCTGCATTATTGATTTAATTGCACTTAATTGTTTGTGAAATCTGAACTATTCATCACAAGATGAGGACAAAGAAGTGCCAGAAGAAGGGCTGGATCTGAAAATAAACAGAATGAAAGTCAGAGTCGGTCTGTTTCCAGACGGTTCAGACAGGAGGCTGACGGAGTAAAGAGAATAACCTACAGAGAGATAAAAAAGGCAACAAGACAGAAAGTTCTTTCTCTGAAAAAAACAGATATTTGTTTGCTTTAGGCTGCTCCCAGACACACTGCGGCTCTACGGTGAGCCTCCTGGATGATTTATGGCTTTGTTTTGACGCAAATGAAAGCCTGAGCATTTCCTCAAATGACTATCCCCATCGCTGCAGGCAGCCGCTACTGAACGCTCCCTACCTGCCATCACAAGTGATTCGCAGCCTCAGGTAGCTGATTTACTGCCTAAACAGCTCTGAAAGCATCGAGTGTGTGTATGTGGGGTTTCTTTAGGAGGAGAACACACACACACACACACACACACACACACACACACACCGAACCAAGTCAAGGGGTTGAAAGCGAGAGACGATAGACTTTGGGTTTTGACTGGAGCTCACGCTGTGATCAATGCACCAAATTATACAGGAGCCAGAATCACACCTTTGCATGTAGTTATTTTACACTTTCTGTATGAGTATGTATGTAACTGTGCTTCACCGATCCATGTCGATTTTTGTAGTAGGGAGATCTATGTGCTATGTCATTTGGCAGGTTAGTATATGATGAATGGGGTCATAATTGGAGGTTTTCATAAATTCCCGTTTGTGTGTTTCTCTTTACTCAGTACCAATCCCAACACCAGCACCGGCCAAGCCCCCGACCACCACGCCGCCACCCACAATCCCTCCTGCTAAGGAAGGTGAGGCTTCCTGTCATTCATTTTGTCCAACGTGTCTACTGCCATTTGACAGAGTTATTGACGTATGAAGTTCTGTGCTGTTGTTTTGTTTAAGAGGTCAGGTGTTTTTAAAGAAGCCTTGTTTATAAAAAATCATTTTTAGTCGTCATGCCTTTTTTTTGAGCATTATCGCAAAAATGCTGCCAAATTAATACAATTCTATGCAAAGCACTCTTCTCTGTGCCAAACATAGAACTCCGTAAAACACCATTATGGTTTATTTCTTCAATTAATTAAGTATTTTTAATTAATTCTGATTTTTTTTTTTGAAGTATTTATGCACATTAACATTATTTAAATTCCTAAAATAAACTTGGGGATATAATTTCTAGATTGCAGCATACATGGAAATGCTGAATTTAGTAAAATTTTATTTTTGAATGAAAATATTTTCTTTTGGCTTACCTGCAACACTCTATTTTCAGAGACACACCAGTTAAAAAAAATCAAGTAAAAAATCTGTAGGTGATGTATAATTTTTCTGTTCACTAATATATCTTGACATGCGAGCTGATAAGTGACTTTGTTTTTCTCTCACAGTGGGGGACATACTCACTCACAGATTGCTACAGAGAACAGCAATCAAAATGCAAAATGTTAGTTTTAGTATGATGTATGATGTATGCTTAAGTGGAAGCAGTCTGATCTCAGTCTGCACTGATGCTGTATGTTTTGAACAGAGAGGCTCTTTTCCTCCTCCACACACACACATACAATGCATGCACACACACACATACACACACTTCTGACAAGCTCCAACATTTACAGTATTTAAAATACGGAGCCAAATCTGAAATAATTATTGTCGATTTCAGGGTTCTTAAATGGAAGTTGCATAACCGATAGCTGCAGACGTGAGATGAAAATAATTCCTTGAATGTGGCCCAGCGAGTCTTTATATTTTATAGCTTTTAATTTTGTCAAACATATAATTCACATTCCTCACGTCTGTCATCACTCACTCATCATTTTCATCTCCAGTGTGCCATTAGCAGTTTTATATAAATGAGGTGAGAAAAAGAAACGCAGCAGCAGCCATATTTGCGCTCTTGTAAAATTTTAGCTTACGCAGCCTCATTCTCTAATAAAAATCATTGTGCTTTCTAATAAAAATGGTGCAATTACCAAAAAGTAATGTCATTAAAAATACAGACAGAAAAATATGAATGACTGGTAGCGATTTAATTTCTGTATAAATTAATTTTCTGCTTGTTTAAAGAAAAGCTCATTTTCACTGCTTCTTGAATGTACAATTTTCTCAGTCCATGCAAAATCCTTACAGACCTTGTAAATTTAACTTTGAAAAATATTTTCTACATTTCCCAGATGATCCACTTCTGCTTCCAGAAATGTGATTTATTCATGTTCATCACGAGCATAATCATTTTAATATTTTTGCGGTAGTTTTTGTTCTTTAAAAACAGTTTTCTTTGATTTTCCTTGGTACAATTGGTTTTAGTTTCACTTATTTTCATTTTCTGTCTCAACTCTTTCACTTTCTCAGTTATTACTCCACATATTTTCTTGCACATTTGGAAAAACGTCGGATTCATGTTTTTTTCTGATTCTAATCTAAAATGTTGTCATATATTCCCTGCTCCAGAAAGTATTGATTGCTTTTGCCTTAACAAAAATCCTAATTTAGTAGTATAAGAAGAGCATGGCTAAAGCTGTGCTAGAATCAATGTTCTGCCAATTGCAGCTTGTTTTATCTTGTACCAAAACTTTGTTCCATCATGTCTGATTAAATCAGGATTTATTCTTCTTTATACTTCTGTGGTTTTGCAGGATGTGGTTGTGTTTCTTGTAGCAAAAATGGGATAGCAGTTGTTCCACTTGGTCCATTAATCATCTCCTGTGATGTTTTTATACTCCTTTGTCTCATTAGTTTCCTTTCAAGTTTCCTGATTCATGTACTGCTACTTGTGTTTGCTTTTGTTTTAGACTTCCATCTTGAATCAAAGTATATATGTGTCCTAATTTCCTGCATTTCATTCTTGCATTTATCATGTGATAAAGAAAATTTCATCCGAGGCTTTTCTTAGTACAAATTAGATGTTTTGTGGACGAGTTAAACTATCGATTAATCAGGTCCAAACACCTCATCTCGCTTCAGCTCCATCTCATATCCATCTCTGACTTTATTCTCAGTTCTTACATATCCATGATAATAAAGAAAATATGTAGGAATTGGCATAACTATTGAGAAGTTGGATATTAAATAACGAAAATTGTAATTTTATGGCTTTGGCTATTAGTGGTGTTCATTTAACAATGAACTGCTAGCGACTCAGAAGTGCAGTTGTTAGCAGATCCATAAGAAATGTTGACGTCTTGTTTTAGCTGTTAATAACTAACCCAATGTTTGTAAATATAAAACAGCAGGGTTTAAAATATCAGGGGTATAGTTTTATACCAACTTATGCGTTTTGATTGTGGATGTTCATCTTAAAGCTGCATAATAAAGTCCAACAAATATCTTGGTTACATACATTTATTTTAATATTTTTTATATTAGTTCTTGATAACACCTACACATCCGGCATGAATAAAGTGCTATTCATAATTCATATCTATAAAACACTTCCAGATTAACATAGCTGACATAAAGAAGAGCCTTAACTCTGACCCCGTTAAATTACTTCAAACCGTTTTCTGAATGCAGAACAGAAACGGAATAAAACCCTTCCTGAACCTGAAGTGCCTTGATTAATTTTCACAAAAGAGAGATGCTGTCCAGGGGGAACAGAACCAGACCTGACCTGAATAAAGCAAAGATTAATTGGTTCCCATCTAAAATGCATCGGCATGAGCAGATTCTGCCAAGAAACAAACACAGGCAGCTGAATGAGTGGAGCAGTTAATTCACTTCACCAACAAACAGCATTAGTGGGAAACGAGAGCAAGTTGGAAAACAAGTAAATGCCAACTAATAAAAGACAACTAGAGCTTTGCATTCATTTCTCAGGAGTAGAATGAGAATTTAAATGATCAGTTTCTGAGTAAATAAAGCCTAAGAAGAGTTTGAATTTAATGCATTACTATTAGCTGCCTTTATGCTGAAGAATTACTTGCTTAAATTAGTTATTGTTAAATTATTGGACATGAAATGATTTTAATGCGTTTATAATATTCAGTTTGAATGATCTTTAGAAGGACGTTCAGTGACTACTGGAAATGCATGAAGCAGTCTTTTTTTTTTTCTTCCCCAACATAAACAAAACCTCTTAACTGACGCAGGATTTATTATTTTTGAGGGAAAATTTATGACCAAAAATGTTTAATCTCTACAACCACAATAAAATGGATGTTTTGCTATTTTTTTTTTTTTTTCCTATTCCCAGTTTGTAAGGCAGCCAAAGCAGACCTGGTCTTTTTAGTTGATGGTTCCTGGAGTATCGGTGACGACAACTTCCTGAAGATTATCCGCTTCCTGTACAGCACCGTCGGAGCTCTGGATCGGATAGGCCCAGATGGCACGCAGGTAACCCAGATTCTAAAACAAAAATCCTTAATAAAACAAAAAAAGTTTGTGAAAGTCTATAAAAGCATTTTTTTTCTAAACATTTTGCCAGATGAATTTTTAATTAGTATCTGTTTTATTCCATTCACATTCCAGCGTCTGAGTCTTCCATGTTATTAGAAAGAGGCTTGAAAACAGATTTGAAGTAGTCTCATTAATTGTTGCCTGTGTATTTATCCGAGGGGCAGAGATACTGCAACAGAAGGACAAATTGGCAAATTTATGCTTAATCAGACATGCAAAGTGCAAATCATCTGCAAATGAGAAAATTTCCTTCAGCAAAATGCAAAAGGAAAGAAGCAAACCACAGATACCAAAATTCGTTCATGACATTGGAAACAAGTCAAAATTGCTGATAAGGGACTGGATCTAAAAATCTGGTTTTCCTCAGGAAATAACTTCCACCCAATTTTCTCATTGGGTGCAATTGTTGCCCGTCGCTATAATTTCAGGAGAGGGAAACAAATGAAGAGGATTTTCATCAGCAGCCTATTGTGTCAGTAATGACTGCAGTGTGACCCCCACAAAACTGCATACATTACATTTATTTTCCTCTAGGGAAAAGCGTATAGACTTATTTAAGGCTTATACAAAACAAAGCAAAATATCTGTAGATAATTAAAAGGATTCATAATCATTGTAAATTATGGAAATTGGCAAAAAAAAAAACACAAAACTAAAACAACAAAATGAATGATTGAAATCTTTTATTTGAATGCCTAAATTGCCATTTTTCTCAACAAGCTTTATTTTGCTCCGATATGTTAAACACAGATGACTATGAAGGTCAACTAATCATGTATTTGTTGATGTTCCTTTTTGAAAATAGAAAACCAGATTCTGAAACTGCACTGGGGTCAACATTTCTTGACCCATCATCCTCCAAGTTGTGAGAAAACCTTGAAAATACATATTTTATAGCACCATTATGACTTCCTCTTTGAAAATTAAGTAAAATTCAACCTTTAGAGTTTTTGTTAATTTATAAGTCTCACTTTTAGAAAATAATTGTTTTCAGCAAAATCAGAACATTTTATAGCATTGTATACTTTATTAAGTTAGAATGTCTTGACAGATGTTAATAATCCACAACTGATTTTTGACTAGAAGTATAAATAATGAGTATGACGGGCCCGTTTTTCATTTCCAGTTTTCAACATGGAAAAGGCAAAATAAATATATTATTCAAGAGAAAGTACACAAGTTTCTTTTGAAAGCCTAAGAATGAATACAACTGATTTTGATATACATCTTTAAGAGGGGTACCTATAAATCTAGGGGACACAGTTTAACTTTAAAATCAAGGTTTTACCAAAATCTTTAGGTTGTATTCCTAAACCGAGTCACTTTAAAGTGGAAATAATATAAAATATATTTTTTTTACAATTCTGTATTGATATATGGTCCTCTACTAATTATTATTCATGGATTTCTTCCTACTATGTCTATCCTGTACATTTTCAAGTTTTCCCTTTGCATTTATTCCAATAATTTTAAACATTTTCTCTTGTACCTCTTTTGATTCTTTGAAAATAAAATGCACCTCATTTCAACCAGATTAGATCTGTGGTGCCTTTTAAGAATGAACCACAATACTTTAGTGTCACTTCACTTCATATGAGTTTTAGAATTATAGTGTTTTAAATCCCTGCAGTTTTTATTAGTGAATTTTTGAAGAGAGAGAGAGGGGGGGAGATTTCCAACTTCAAACATTTCCACAATATTGCAGCTATAATTTTGAATAAGCTTTTCCAGCGCATTTCTCTGCAGAGATTGACTTCTATTAAAAATGAAGTCTTTGACAGGATAGTTTGTCAACCTTTGCATCCTTGTAATTAGAAATGACCAAACCCTAACACTGTAGTTGAAACTTATTGGAAGTTGGACTGACATTATGCCCGGACCTGGCAGGTGGCCATCGCCCAGTTCAGTGACGACGCTCGGACTGAGTTCAAGCTGAACTCCTACGGAAACAAAGAACGTCTGCTTGATGCCATCAACAAGATCTCCTACAAGGGAGGAAACACTAAAACAGGTGAGGGCTAAGCACACACAGAAGGTGGGCTGGTGTGAGACAAAATAACTGCCTTCAACTTCTGCAACTGCTGCAAATTAAACACAACTATCACTATTATCTACACGCTCAGGCCTCACATCTTGGTTTATATTGAGCACTTGACTAAGGGGCATGTGCATGTATGTGATTTCAGTTAGCTGCAACATGAACATGAACCTGTTCTTAATGTGTTAACACTACATAGAGGTGTGTGTGTGTGTAATGCAAGAAAGCCTGTGGGAGAGAAGAAACAGTAATAGTCTTTAATCAGTGTTTACAAAGTAGAAATGAGATCGCAGCGAGCAGATTTGTTAGAGCATCGCTGCCGTAAAGGAATTCCCCTGCTGGTAATGTCACACTATAATGCTCCACTTATTAATTTATTTTCTTTTTTAATCAGAGTGCTACAGTTTAGAGTGTTGTTATGCATTCAGTCTAAACTCCAATTGAAATGGTTTCCAAAAGTAGAAAATATGATGGCTGAATTTGTTTGACGTTCTGGTGTCCATCCATTTTCTGAACACCGTTGTCCCTCAGTGGGGTCGGGGGGGGTGCTGGTGCCTATCTCCAGCTAACGTTCCGGGCGAGAGGCGGGGTACACCCTGGACAGGTCGCCAGTCTGTCGCAGACGTTCTGGTGTCATTTAATTTATTTAAATGATTTAAATATTAAAGAGAATAATTATTCCTCTGAGAAAAAATAAAGATGTACCTATAGTTGATTAGGCATCAAACTGAATTAATGAGACAATTATAAGTAAAAATGTAGCGTTTTAAGAGGTAATACCAAAATATAAAAAATATATGCATATTGCAAAAGCTTAAATAATTTGCAACATATTTTCATCATGAATTTAAGTTTTTTATTCTACTTAGGGTTGTTTTGTACAGTTTTTTACATCATTAAAAGAAATTATATCCAATATGTCTACACTTTCATGTTCAAAATTCACTTTATGTGAATTTTTGACATCAAGTGGTTCATATTGAAAGACTTCCATTGATTTCCCTCTGAAATATGTTGTATGTTACATCACCAATAATGTGTATATACAACCTATCACATATGTATGAAATTATTTCTGAGCACATTTTCAATCAGTGTGGAATAAAGTATAGATGAGGGAATACCAGACCTTGACATGTCCTCATTTAAATATGCAAATAGATGAATATATATGTTCTGCACATATGAATCATCTGTCCACACACATTTGTGCGTGCAGTATTTGTATTCACATCCTAACGGCTCCTGCGGATGCCATCCAGGTGTTGTGGATGAGCCAGAGTCTGCACGCCAGTCATAAATTTGCCATGAGGCTCCACACATTTCCGAACTCAGTTCATTATTGATGCGTCTGAAGTTTTGCTCAGAAATAGCCGTGTGAGATTTTTGTGCTTATCCACACTTTGCACATGAGAGATTTGATGGTGTTGCCATTGTTAAGGTTACCTTGAGAGGCTGCATGCTTCTGTGTGTGACAATATAAGATGGTCCCTTGGCACTACTTCCCTCTGATGCGTCCCTTTTCATTTTTATTTGTATCGATGTGTCATGCATCACATATCACCCCCTGTCATCATAGTAAAAGTTCCAATTTTGAGACTAATCATTAAGTGGAAAAACCTACAATCATGCTGTCAATAACGGCTTCATTTTTGAAGTAAACTTCGATGGTGACTCATTGACTGTTTGTGTTTTTCTAGCACAGAAACTGTGCAGCAGCACGAACTTCAAAGGTTACTGCCATAAACATCTGAGACATAGCAATTTAACTGACGCCAAATTAAAATCCTAAACTCTCGGGGCAATATTGGCATGTGTGGAGGGTTGATCTGACTTCTGGCAGGGAGATGAACCCTCCAAGGCAGCAATTTGTTCAGCAGCACTGATCCATAATCTGCAATCTTCATGCAATTTATTTAAATTTGTAATGCAGATTTTGTTTTCTGATGTAACACTGCTTTGTAGTGCACAAATTGTTTTAGCAACAATGCGAATAAACCTGCAGGGAAGAATGAATCAAAGCCTGTTTTCTGCGCACACGCAGCTCTCCTATTGGCTTTTTAGACCCAAACAGACTCTGTGATTTGAGATCGTTTTTCTCCCACTAAAAAAAGGTACACTAATTATTTGTGCTTTTTCTCAAACTTTTAGGTTCTCTCCTGTAAGGAAAGTAATGGGAAAAAAAATTTAAAATTCAGATTTTTAGCATTTTATGCAGATCGGTTGCCGCTCTATGATTTGATTGTTGGAAATAATTGACGGTTTCATCTTTTCAATCAGGTCGAGCCATCCAGCATGTGAAGGAAAACATCTTCACCGCTGAGGGAGGAGTCAGGAGAGGAATCCCTAACGTCCTTGTGGTTCTGACTGATGGCCGATCCCAGGATGATGTCAATAAAGTTTCCAAAGAGATGCAGATGTCAGGTCAGAAACGATTTCTCTCATTTTAAAGGTCATATATGAAGCTAAAACTCTGGTTTGTTTGTCTTTATTTTGTTTTTTGAATGGGATATTAGGAGCCTGTCAGTAACCTGCAGTCCAACACATAGTTTTAATATTGTATTCTTACACTTTTTTTGTGTGCAAACACCTTTTCCGGGACTTATAACAGCTTCCAACAAGCAAATATGGAACTGAGATTTTGTTTAGTAATCAGTGTTTCTATTGCTTTCATTTTAGTACAGTAATATACCATTTCATCTACACTATCATGCCATGACCAGGAAATGTCTAGAAAATACCCTGTGGTAGAGTTTTTGGTATAATAGTTTTAATAATAGTTTTTTTTAAATTATTTTTTACCAGCATACCAGTTTAATAAATGTTTAATAAAAGGACAACTTGTATGAATCCAATTCTGAAGTCAAAGCGTTTGTTTTTCTTCTCCACCCTCCTTGTAAAGGTTACATTGTGTTTGCGATCGGCTTCGCTGATGCCGACTATGGAGAGTTGGTGAGCATCGCCAGTAAACCGAGCGACAGGCACGTCTTCTTCGTGGACGACCTGGACGCCTTTCAGAGGATCGAAGAGAAGCTGGTGACCTTTGTATGCGAGGCCGCTACCGCGAGTACGTTTTAGTTAGAGTGCAACTTCCTTTAGGTAAACAGCATGTGACATTTCTTCAATACTGTGCTGACTGTTTTTTGGGGGGTTTGTTTTTTCTTTGTTTTTGTCTTTAACAGCTTGTCCATCTATACCAATGAGTGGCAGCACAACCCCAGGTAAATGTTAAAGAATACCTCTTTACCCCAACAAGTTACATGTGGAAATGTAACTGCTTACAATGTACTAAAAGACAAGTGAATGTAATTTCTTATTGTTTGTGCAAAAATAACGACTATTAAGAAACTAACTTAAATAGAGCTCTGTGTCCCCATTCCAAGGAATTTTTTTCAAATTATTATTTTTACATCTCAGCATGTGAAATTGGCTTGTCTGTGTTACAAAATAACCACTGAGGAATAATGCAGCTGAGTCATTTCATGAAGATATGGGAAAGAGTTGAAGCTAGTTTTAGAAGTGAGGTGATGATCTCTTAGTGGGAGAGCGGTGTTAAGCAGAAGAAGAGCAGTAAGGATGTGATGTGTGTATTGAAAGGCTTTATGGAGAAGTGTAGAGACAGAAAAGACTTGCACTGTTTTCTTAAATTTAGAGAACAAGGCACAGAGGGAAGAACTGGGTTACTGAATGAGTCAAATGTGGCAGAGACATACGTGAGGGAGGTTTAGAGAACGCCAACTGTGGCTCAGTGAGTGGAGTGGTTTCCTTGCAGTCTGAAAGTTATGGGTTTGTTTCTGGCCTAACACTTTCACAGTGTTGGAGCTGTGAAAGTGTTATTCCTAACAGTCTGCATATGAGTGATTGATGTGTAAGAGGTTTTGAGCATGAAGGGCATTAGTGTAAAGTGCTTTGAGTGATGGTGTGATCATAAAAGCCCTATATTATCTCAGTAGTTTACCATTTGCTTATACAGAGACAACAAAACAGTGGTGAAGTGTGTAGAAGAAGTCCCACAAGAGTTGAAGAGTTTGGTACTTCTTCTTGACAGACGGAGAGCAGACCTGGACAGGGTCTTGTTCAGGAATTTTGGAAAAATGGAGTTAGAGTTTATTAGTCAGATTGGTGTGGTGTCTACAATGATACAGACACTGTATCCGTCCGTCGTGGTGCGGAAAGAGCTGAGCCAGAAAGGGAAGCTCTCAATTTATTGGTCAATCTTTGTTCCTACCTTCATCTAAGGTCACCAGCTTTGGGTAGTGACTGAAAGAATAAGGATGTCAAAGCAAGTAGCTGAAATGCGTTTCCTCCACAGAGTGTCTCTCCATTAGAGATAGGGTGAGAAGTTTAGTCATCTGAGAACAGCTCAGAGTAGAGCCACTACTCCTCCACATCTAGAGGAGCCAGACGAGGTGGCTCGGGCATCTGGGTAGGATTCCTCTCTGGTCAGATGTTCTGGGCACGTTCCACCAGGAGGAGACCCAGAGGAAGACCCAGGATATCTGGGATATGCAATCAATGTTTTTCGAATGTCCTGGGAAAGCCTTGTGATTGTCCTGGAGGAGTCCCAGTGAAAGATAATGGAGGGATGGTCAGGCAGGAGTACTTATAGATTAGGAGGTTTACAGGCAACATTGTGATCTGCAGTGAGAATAGGTAGCTGGTGAAAAGACGTCTGGAATGGTAGAAGAATGCTGTAGATAGAACCAAGAAGTTATACATATGTAAACCACTGAGAGAAAAATGGGACAGTTAAGATGCAAGATGAAAAATTGAAAGTGGACAAGTTTAATTATCTGCAGAGTAAATGAAGATAAATGTCAGGAATGATTTGTAACAGACGGACAGCTGCCGGAGTGTGAAGGATCAGTGCTTAGCCCCTTCTTTTGTTTGCAGTAGTGACGGACGGGTTTACAGATGAAGTCAGGCAGGAATCCTTATAGATCACAATGTTTGGAGACAACTTCATGACTCTTTGCGAGAGTAGGGAGAAAATACGAAACTCTGGAGAGGTGGAGGTATGCTCTAGGGAGAAGAGAAATAATTAGAGTAAATAGAAGCAGGACAGGTTACGTTTAAATTAAGAGAGGTGAAACAGGACAGTGGCAAGGAGTGGAGAGGTGCTGAAGCTGGAGAAGTGGAAGTACTTGAAGAATGGATGGGAACAAATGTCTGGGATGATTTGCGACAGAAACTGCAAGAGTTAAAGAGAAGGTGTTCAAGATGAGCTGGAAATGAGAGCCTTTTTATTGGACTGGATTGAACAGATCAAGCAGAAATAGAAATGAGTTTAGCAATTAGAGGTAAATCTAAGATGGTTTGAACTTGTACAGACGAGAGATAAAAGGTTCACTGGACAAAAGGTGGTGAATACAGAGCTGCTAGGAAGGAGAGAGAGAAGAAGATCAAATCGGTTCATTTGTGCTTTAGTGCAGGAGAATAAGCACTTAGTAAGAGAGAGAAGGACTTAGTAATTTATGAGATAGATGAGCAGATGATCTGCAGCAGACAGAAAAAAAGGTTAATACTTGGTTTATAACTGTATCTATCTTTTAAAGTGAGCTAAGCTGTCTGAGATAACTATTCTTGAATCTTCTTCAGTCCCCTGGCCTAATTTCCTTTGATGTTAACAAGATCTCATCCCACCACCTGTCTGCAGGTTTCCGTATGATGGAGCTGTTTGGACTTGTTGAAAATAAGTACAACAGCATCGCTGGTGTTTCCATGGTACCTGGCACCTTCAATGCCTTTCCCTGTTTCCACCTGCACAGCAACGCTCTGATGGCACAGCCAACCAGGTATGACGACTCGATAAGCTGCACAGATAGGATGACATATAACATTCGTTGAAGTGAGAGGTGATGACCTTTAGGAATGCAAAGCACAACTTGGACGTTTTAGTCAACAGAACCTCAAGATAATGTCTCAGTTGCATCTGTTGTTCTGACTCACAGGTTTATCCATCCTGAGGGGCTTCCCTCCGACTACACCATCACCCTGCTGTTCAGAGTGCTGCCTGACACGCCGGAGGAGCCCTTTGCTATCTGGGAGATCCTCAATAAGAACAACGATCCGCTTACTGGAGTCATCCTGGACAGTACGTAGAACAAGTTTACGTTTAAATGCCATTCGCTTAATAGAAACGTTTCTGTTGATAGAAAATGTGATACAACCATGAGAGCCTTACCAGTCAGCACAAGAACTTTTTCATCCTAACAAGCGTCACACTTGTAGAAAGCTAACTGTTGCATAGCAACTCCTACCACCAAGGTGGAGAGGTGGGAATTCAATTTAGATCTGTTATATTGACTTGAATGTCACAACAGTGAGAACCATGAGTACAACTGGTTCAATAACATCTGTGCAATTAAATAAGACAAACGATTTAAGTTGATACTATTACGCATGGAGGAGTCGATACAGAGAAAAATGTTAAACAAAATGAGACTTACATTATTGTTTTATTATTTCAGCTATAATTCAGTCCTGGCTGCATGTACATGTGGCCTATACCTCTCGTCAATTTTCTGGGTGAAAGCGACAGACAAAAAGCTTAACATTTTTCACAAATGCTTGAATATAACATAATAAACATACATTTTAATGCATGTGCTTTTTTGCATCCTATTTACACACGTTTGTGTATTTCCCTGCAGATGGAGGAAAAACTCTGACATTCTTCAACAACGACTACAGGGGAGATTTTCAGACTGTCACATTTGAAGGTCCAGAAATCAAAAAACTCTTCTTCGGAAGCTTTCACAAGGTCAGAATGCCATTATGCCTTTGTTTTTTTTTTAATACCTGATTCCCTTTACACTGACCGTCAGGATGTTCTGATGCATACAAAATGTAGCGTTTACATTTTTTACCTGCAGGGTAAGTCACCTACAAAAGCCTTACTTGTCAAAGAGAATGCAGACTACGATGCTGAGTCATAGTGAACATTTCTGCAAAAGCAAGAAGCAAACTGATGCTTCAGAACCAACAAAACATCCGCCTGCATTGAAGGACTAAATTTACTGCATGTATTTCAGAGAATACCAGAAAGAAACATGTGCCACATGTTAAGTACAAATAAAGTGGCTTCAAACTGCTTGTTGGCCGTGACAGACAGACAGGTCCATCTCTAGGTATCTCACTAACCTGCAGTGACTGATTGGCTGACAGCTGTATCACCATCTTATTTCTATTTTTTTTTCTTTTAGCCCAACTGTCTGGATTATCAGCTTATTGATTTGCACAGTTCTGCTTCGTTTTCTTGCCGTCTCTCGCTCCTGCCTTGTTCTATTTTTACCCCAGTTTTTTTTCTGAGCAGCGTTACAGTGGCTGGTGTCCCAACAGGCTGACTTCAGTTGAGTCACGCCCCGAGTCTGAACCTGCTCACCGTCGCATTGTGTTACCATCAGAGCGACTCGCTCACTGATCTGCAGTCACTTCTGTCTGCTTGCTGTCAGCAGAGCTTACCCTGCTTACCTTTTCACCTTTTGTTCTGCTCCGTCTGCGTGTGCATGTGTGGGTTCGCGCACGAGTCTGAGTGAGTCAGAGTTGATTTTATAATCCCGGAGGACCAGAACCTCCGCTGCCTTCCTGATAAGTCAAGCCGACATCTGTATTGGGTCATGCGGTTAGGGATTAAAGTAGATAACTAATGTGATAATCAGTAAAATCGCTTGACGTGTCCTTTTAACCCACCTTGAAGGTTATATGGGCTCCTTCAGCTGTACTTTACCTGCCTTTTACTTAACAGTTTTATTTGCTGAAAAAGTGACATTTTGAGTGTGGAAATATTCTTACGCAAGCTGTATCCTCAGATAAGGTGGTAGTCCTTCACACTCCACAGTCTCAGTAGGATTTAACTCAAGTCTCAGAAACTTCTGCACTTCCTGCATGTGCATACAAGCATGGATTTACTAGAGTCTACACACACATTCATGGGTACATAAGATGGAAGTGAGCAGGGTTGGAGTGCAGTTTTAAGTCATGCTATTCTTAGAGTTTTAGAAGTGTGGCCAAGTTTGGAAAAAGTCTTTAAAGAAACACCAACCAGTTCCTGAACAAAAGAGAAAAATCACCTTTTTCCCCCACGTAGTAACTCTGAGTCAGTTTAATAAAAATAGCAGTAAGTCTTGGATGTAAGACACATTTTGTCAATTATTTGGCAGCAGTGACCTTATAAAGCACAAAATAGCTCAGCACTCCTCCACAGAACGGCAGGAAAGTGCTGCGTGGTTAGATTTCAAGCAGAAGCTTCATTTTATCACCGTCAATTGATATTGCACATATTACCAGCTGAAAGGTTGCTGGAAAAAAATGTTCAAACTTCTGCATCCTCAGCTTTTTTCATGTTGTATATTAGAGCTACAACTTTTTTCCTGCTGGATAGTGTTTGTCGAATGGGCCTGTTGGTTTGAGACGCTGAATATATGAGGTAGTATCTTTTTTTTTTTTTTTTCAATTATTGCATTTCCTGCCCCTGTAGAAACCAAACGGCGTTGCCTAGTAACAGTTTCTTTTGGAGATAGTAAAGAGTAGCGTCAGATTTGAGAGGATAATAATTACCATCTTCCAGCCAATCAGAGTCAGGAACAGTTTTTTGCCTGATTCTGATGACCCTTTAGTGCTGCAAAATAATAATATTGGTATTTTTACAGCACTTCTCTGCACTTCAGCTGAAAATGTCCTATTCTGACAGGTTGCATGAAAAATGACTGGCACAACTGAGGCAATTCAGCAAAATTGTTGTCTTTTCCCTGCCTTATGTAAAAAGTAGTGGAAAGGATACATTTCTTTTAAAATAAAGAAAGAGCAAAATAAGGGACTACAGTTGTTCTGCTCCAAATTTCACTAAGAACTTCAAAGTCCCTTAAAGCTTCAGCTAAAATCAAAAGGTACTTTTCAGGTTTATGACCCAGCAGGATTCCCCAGCCTCTTCATAAACCTCTGTGTGACAAAGAAAGTGGTCCCTAATTGTGAGGCAGAAGAACATTTTTAAAGTGTTTTGACAAATAAAACTCTGACTGCAATGTGTGCATTTTGCTCCCAGTGTGAATAACCTTTAGCTTTAATTACCGCTCTGAGTCTTTGGCGTATTCCTCAACCAGCTTTGCATATCTACAGATTGAAACTTTTTCTTATTCTTCTCTAAAAGTCTAATTTTTTTTATTTAGATCTAAACTTTTACTGGGTCATTCTAAGACATGAATATACTTGTTATAAACCATTCCTCTGCAGCTCTGCTTGAAGGTGAACCTCCTTCCCAGTCTCAAGTCTTGCTGCTTCTAACAGCTTTTCTTTTGGACATGACTCATGTCTCTTTTATGTTGCTGATCTTGTAAATTGAGACCTTCCTTTTTATCGCATTACTACAGATGAAACCCCAATCTGTGTATTCATCACACACTCCCTCCCACTGTAACTCGTGAAAAACACATTAAGATACTAGAACTCCTTGAGCCTGTGCTTGAGATCGTGGCTTGTTCTGGCTCCAGACTGAGCAGTCCGTCTTTTTCCTGTGCTGAGTCTTGGCTTCAGATGTAAAGGATCTGGCTTCAGTCCCAGCCACTTTAAATGTAGCTGTCTTTCATGTATTTTAATTTCTCAGATGGAATGTTTTATAGTTTACAAATGTCTGCAAAATAATGCTAACTATTAACTGATATGGTGAGATTTTATAATAAAATTAAACACAAAGGAGATCGTTTTGGATCATGAAACGAGTCATTTTAGGAACATGTGATCAAAATTATCAAAATAAAATAAATAATAACTAAGGATGATATGTTTAGGTTCCTGTTTTAAGAACCTAAACATGTCTTTATGTGTGTCTAACAGAGTTAGTCTCTGTTGGACAAAAAAGTCTCTCTGATCTGTATCAAAACTATTTTTTCCTCCAGCAGTTTGTCACATTCAGGAATAACCCTAAAAAAATTGCTTCATGACAAAACACATTCAGTGTTTAACAATTCAAAATTAACTGAGATAATGTTAACCTATATAGGTTTGCATATCTTGGCTTCTTCATCTGTATTTTTCATTTTAATCCCATTGTCTCTTAATCTTTGATTTCTTTTCCTGGAATCTGAACGTGAAGCTGTTATTGTGTGTTTGACACCAATTAAACAGAATCTCTCACCCCAGGTTGGCAGGGTGTCACATTTCTGAAACAGAGGCACTTCTCAGCTCAACACACAAACATCTGTTTGTGAGAACAATACCAGAATCTGTAGTTTAAAACAGATATGTGTTAACATTGCACAAAGTAAGCTATGACTGTCTGCATATGGTCAGCAAAACTGAGTGATCCTCCTACATTTATTACATCTGTAAAAGGTCAGGAGTCACCCATATGATAATTTGGGCTAATATCTGATAGCAATATTGCTTTTATGGCTAATAGCCAATATTTACCAATCACCAGACTCTGGGATGAAAATGCAAGTATCAGGAGGAAGTAGAGACTATAAATGATCTAATTTTAAATAATATATCATTAGCACATCCAATCCACCTCTTGGTATCTGTCCATCTGTTTTCTCTATTTATTCAAATTGTTTTTCAATTTTTTGTATGTAAAATATTAAATTATTCATTTATGTAGGTAGAATTTTTTTTTCATGCACTGATATTGTTTTGGATCCCAGATTTACATCCAGTCCAGGTTCTGGTAAATGCATTCAGTTTTATATACAAATAACTATTTCCTCCAAATTTGTAGCTTTTATTTCATTCTATGGGTGTTGTATGGTTGTCCCTGCATTATCTTCTGGAAAATTGTCCAAGAAACTGGATTCATTTGCAGCTGCACACAAGTAGAGGGCGCTCTTCTCCTGCTATTTAAACAGCTCCCCTTTTTTGGCTCATCGGTTTTCCTAATGTTATATTTGATCAGCATCTTATCTATGGTGACTGCTAGGATTAATATTCATGGCATAAAGTTCAGATCCTATAGCAGTATATGTTAGGTGCTACAAGGTTTCTTCTAAGACTTTATGAAGTTCTGTTTTATTTCTGGTTTATTGCAGCTGCACATTGCAATCAGCAAGACGAGTGCCAAAGTGTTCATCGACTGCAAAATGGTGGCAGAGAAGGTCATCAACGCAGCAGGAAACATCACCACAGACGGAGTGGAAGTTCTGGGCAGGATGGTTCGCTCCCGAGAGAACAAGGACAACTCTGCACCGGTAAAACGAGCATTCACACACAGCGCACCACATGCAGCACTGCACCACTAGATTCCACTTTCTCTCTATCCAGATCAGATCATTGTTGATTACCAAAGCAACTAAATTCTCACTTTAATATGTTGCAAACTTAAGTGTTGAGTTTTCAGACATTCCATGGTCTGATTTGATTCCCAGCAGGTCTAGGATGTTCAATCCGTTTATTACATGCCCATCTGATTGACCAGGTCAAGAAGGCATCTTATGGGACATTTATTAATAATTTTGATAGCTCATACTGAATTTCCTCTTTTGATCTCATGTGTTTAAAGACCTGATTTTAACTTTTTCCATATTTTTCTGTTAAAAACAATTTATTATATGGTTATGATTACTTCTTCTGTTTTTTGGTTGGCAATCAGGTTAAACTTCATTACATTTCTGTTATGCCCGTCAGTAAAATGTATGTAAACTTTTAGCTGAATTTTGCTGTGTTCAGACTTGTATCCTATGTTCATTTTTCTGCAGTTCCAGCTCCAGAACTTTGACATTATTTGCAGCACATCCTGGGCCAACAGAGACAAGTGCTGTGAGCTGCCTGGTCTGGTGAGGTCAAATTTTAAAGTTGTTTGAGATTTACCTTTTTTATATCCCTACTTTGTCAAAATTAGATACTACCAAATCAGTTTCCTTTTACATCACCCATTTTTTTTTATTTCACTTAGAAACATTTTTTTTTCACATTTTCTAAAAGTTGGCTTCTGCTTTGATGCAAAATGTTAGACATGATGCCCTTTATGTTTTCACTTAACTTCAGTGAAAATATGAAGTTAGGTGAACTTCATGTTTTCACAGCTAATAGCTTATCAGAGAAAAGTCAAGACAGAGGTCAGTCATACCAAGTGTTGTAAGTGAATTATATTTCATAAACCTTTAAACATCCAATGAGTTTGATTTTATTGAATGACTATAAAACTAGGCCAGAGAAAAGTTGCTAAAAAAGTTTCTATTGTAGCTCAGATGGAGGTTATTTTATAGATTTATACACTAGATTCCTCTTCCATCAGTTTATTAGCTTCATGTTTAATGCCAAACATTTTCTTTGCTTGCTTTTGTCATATTTAAACCCTTTTGTCATCACATTAAGTTTCTTTTTTCTTTGTCATTTGCATGGCATTATCATCATCCAGAGGAAGGAGGTAGACTGTCCGGCCTTTCCCAAAGCCTGCACCTGCACACAGGACAGCAAAGGTCCAGCTGGTCCTCCCGGAGTGCCTGTGAGCAACTTATTATGTTTATCCTGATTATCTATTAGAAGTAATGCAACTTTGTCACTAAAAATAGATGAAGGAAAACCCTGCATGTGATTTCAGTATATGAGGCTTTTCAACAGCGCAGATTAAATGACGTTCACTTGGCAAACAGAGATCATATCATATATACTCATCCATCCAGTCAAACAAGCTTTAATTTGATTTCGTTAATTTATTTCACTTGTTCTCTTTCAGCTATTTCTCAACTTTATTGTGGAGTCAATTTTTCCATTCCATTCAGACACATAAAACATGTTTAAGTCCTAAATGTTGTTGATCTTGCATCTGTAATTACAGTGTTTTTGGTTTCTAACAGGGCGGTCCTGGAATCAGAGGAGCCAGAGGTGATCGTGGAGAGCCGGGTCCAGTGGTAAGTTGTATTGCTTTACTCTTTCTAAAGCCACTGCTGTGTGGAAAAGGTGGTAAAATCTGTATCATTCTGGATGAAACTTAAAACCAGGTGTAATTTTGGAAAAAAAAATACAGACCTCATTGATTAAGTTGTAGTTTCTACTGAGTTATGCTGGTTGTTTGTGAGCTGAAAAAATGTTGTTTAGTGAATTGGGTTTAATTTCATTTGCACAGGTAAGTCTTGTAAAGAATGCTCCTGATCTTTGGTTTCACACTCTCCATTATGACACATTGAAAGCAACAAACCATGGATGAATGGGTTTTTCAGTCACCCTTATTTATTTTTTAGTCCAGAAGTAGACATTTAAATACATTGGAGGAAAACAAGGCCTGCATTTCGGGATAAACTGAATATATCAAAACTATTTTTCTAATTTTGAGATTTGTGAAAGATTTTATTTCCAAGAGCTCAATGTTTCCATTTTGTTTTAATTTTTCTTTGTCCTTCAAGCTTATCATTTATTCTGTGATTTTGGAAGAATATTTTGTAGCTGGCTGTTATTGAATGCACCATTTCTAAAGAATAACCCAATTTGGTTAAAAAGTGAAACAAAAATATATTTTTATTTTTATCAGGTGGCTGTGTATGTAATGTGTCTGAATGTTTGATGTATAGAGAGTTATACCTGATTTTCTCGTGGTTGTTTGACCTGATGGTGGCTAAAGGACCAATTAACTCAGATTCAGCTTTTTTCTTTCTTTTTTTTAAGATTGTAAGGTTAATTCTATGTTATTGGTGATATTAACCTATTAACCATTCCTAATTCAAATTGGTGATTTTCATTCTTGTACCCACATAATGTGAGTTGTGGTGTAAATACCTTAATATTCAGTTTTGAAGTATAAGGGATTAATTATGAAAGATTAATTATTTGTGCCTTTATGGGCAGGATACTGAGTTCTGGTCATGTATTTTTGATGTGCTTATGGCCTAAAATAATTAGATAGAAAGCTATTTCTAAGGTCCATTCAGTTCCCTTTGTGACGAGTTTTAGCAGGAAACATCACAGCTTAGTAGTTTAATAATAGACAAATAATTTGAGAAGTGCTCCTTCTGCAAACTCAACAAATGAAAATAAGATGTAAGAGGAACCTAAAACATGGAACTTTTAATGTATGGTTTTATATAATCCAGTTGCCTGTAATCTTTAATCTCATTACATGATTCTGTGTTTACCTCAAGGTTTTAATTCTAACAGTAAATCCAGGCAATGATAGCTGCATACTGGTTTACAATTGGTGGAAAAAACAAAACAGCAATAAATCTATTATCAAACGACCCATGAGACCCACTAAAGTAGCACAAACAGCATGTTAGCAGGTGTAAAATTAACTAAAACAGTCAACCCTGGACCTATTAACTCTAAAATGAAAATAAAATACAAGTCCATCACATGTTATGACTGTAGAAATATGTATAATAATAGACATAACTGTCAGATGAACAGAGCTGATTCACAGTTCTTTTTTCTTTTTAGTTTATCTCTATATGGTGATAATTACATTATTACTGCTGCAGATGTTTTAGGAAGTGTTAGCAGGACAGTAGCTTGACATATGCTTCATACAAAGACCCTAACAAGTACAGCACAGATCAACATGTCTGCTTAAAACAGGAAATTACAAATTAGCTGTTAACGTATTATCTATAGCCTTGTAAAATGCACTTGTAACATCAATTTTATGTTGAAATCTCATCAAAACAGATGGGCTTTTTTTCTTGATGAATCAAACATGTGGGAATCTGGGGGGAAAAGCTTTGTTTATGTTAAAAATGTCCTTATTTATTTAATGACTACACATAGATTATACAACATGGATAAAGAAAGGAAAATAAAATCGCTTCTACATTTACAATTTTAGAATGTGGTTTATTTAATGTGTCCATGTTGAAACTTTACAGTTCATTCTTAAATTTGTCAAAATATTTACTACAATGACAAAGCTTTGCAAAGCAAATGGCACCTACATCAAAGTAGATCATTTAAAAGCTACCACCTGAATTTATTTTCCTGTTACTATTTTCCAGTAAAGGTTGATTTTTTTTTCTTTGTCACACACTGACAAAATTCACCATAAAAATATGTATATGATTTCCATGCATCTGTGAGTTTAACAATAAAGGAAAAATAGTTAAGAACTCATAACTTATATCAGTCTGTTAAAAATACTCTACAGATCATACTAAATCAAAACATCATCTGCTGTCATTTGGTTACATTGTGCCTCTGCAGAAACCTTAGAAAGAAACTTTAAACAATGAGCTGTGACTCAAAAATCCTAAACATCATTTTAAAAAAAATATGGTGGTGTTTACTTTCTCTGGTTTGACACTTTATTTTTCACAAATCCAGTTGTTGTAATAGTCATAATAGTCTTGTTTCCATTTCCCTCCATAATCGCAGCATACTGCATATGACTGGTACTGGTCATATTCTGGCCATCCTGTTCCCCAAAACCTGTGGGGAAAAATGAAACTGTATTAAACATGACTCATTTACTGCCAGAAATCAATATATTTTTCCTTTTTATGTCTAATTCTTCTTCTTTTTTTTTTCTTTTTTGTATGCACTGGGACAGCTGGGGGATAATCAGCTTTATTTTATCTACAGGAGCTCATTCTGCACATTCTTGTGTACATTCTGTATTCTTCTCAGTGTCTTTATCTTGGCTGTCCTTAATTATTTTCTGGATGTGTTTATGCTTTTAAAAGTCTTAAAGGTTTTCAGACAAACATTTCAGCTGCTGTAACTGGTAGTGAAGGATATTTTAGTGACTTTAATGATTTTAACTACCTTATAAAACAGAGTTTTATATGATCTTTAACTTCTTCCTGTTTTGTTTTCTTTTCTTCTGAGTTGTTTCCTGCCTTTGCTTCCTGCATTATCTGGTAGTTGTTACTAACATGATCTTCAATTTGCTCAGGATACAGATTTTTTTTTCCCCCTGGGTTTATTATTGCCAGATTCTGGTATTTATTTATTTCTCTTTATTTCAGTCTTTACTCACATTTGCTTAATTATTGATTGGTCCTGGTTTGGTTTTGTCTGCCTTTGGTTTTCCTGTCGACTCTGCTTGTATTTTGCTTCTTTTCCACTAAGTTTCTAGTTTCTGCAATCTGCTCAATAATTACTTCACCTCTCCTCCTTCATCATTAATCCATATAGTTTATCTCAATTAGTGTTGGTGTGGTTCTTTTTAGAGAAAAAATGTTTTTTGGAGGAAAGTTTGTTTTGGATTTCCTCTTCCAATTTATCCCAAACTCTAAACGTCATCGCTTTAAATCTGTTATGTAGATCATAGCAGATATGAACAAACTGACTTAATTGGAAAGTATAAACCAACTGAAATGACTTTGCTTTCTTTTGACTTCTTAAAAGTTAGCAATAGTTTGTGGAAGGCATTGTACCATTTCCACAGAGAGAATCCAAGTAGCTGCTCATTCAAATATTTTTTTTGTTTTGACTTTTGTCACATTTAAAGTGGCATTACATAGAAATGTTTATATTAGAGGTGTGCCGATCGATCGGCCGCCAATCATAATCATTTATTTTGATGCAGCCTGTGTTTAACTTTGAATTAATGTTTCCTTTTTTACTTGACATAATTTGATATAGGCAGATTTATTAGACTCATGTATAATATATGGTACTGAGAGCCTTACTGTTAAATATTATTTTACTGATTGCAGGTTTTTCAGTTTTCCTTTTGACTGAATAGCTGCTGTATTTTGCATATTTTATGCCAATATTTGGTGCATTTATTGTCAGATCATTTTTTTTAATTTTGTCAGATCACATAGTAGCATTTATACCTAAAGCAAAACATTAAAGTCAATCCAGGTGATCGGCAGAGATCAGCCTCATTGGTGATCGGTATCAGAATTGGCAACAGAAAACCTGATCGGAGGATCCCTAGTTTATATGTATGTTAAATCATCACTGAGCCAACAAATATGCTTTTGGGGTCCAAATGTAAAACTAAACAATTCAAATATGTATATGTATAAAAAAGACTATTTAGCTGTGGAGCACCAGTGGGTAACCTTGACACCACTGTGACACTAACAGATTAGTTCAATGTAATGTGGGTCACCTTTCAAGAATTTCTTACACATGAATCATTTTTAAGATTAAACTCACGATTGTGTCAGTGGTGATCCATCCACCCATTTCCAATCATACGTCCTTTGCACACTTATCTGCTTGTATTGAAGACCGATCCAAGATTCTCCATTTTTATTAAACTCTTTTATAAATTCCTAGTTGAGGAAAAATAAGACACATTTTCTTTAAAATTTCATAGGTAGGTTGATGTAATACAATAAAAAAATTGTGCTCTTATACAAAGTGAATCTAACATAACAGCACTTTATTTCACAATAGTAAAAATCCATGTTTTTATAACTCATTTAAACTCAAGCAAAAACATCATTGTTATTTAAATTTAGATTTCTTTCAAATTATTTTAGATGGTCAGGTTTTAATAAACATTTTTGTTTAGTGGGTGCAACTTATTAGACCATGTTCTGTACAAACTGCATCATCTAATGAAAAAAAAGACCTAATTTTAATACTCTTCAATGTGGGGATGATGCATTGTTCAGAAACAGTGCTAAATATATACCCATAATATTTGAGAAGTGTAACACTGGAATAAGAAAGGTCTGATCTTCCCAAAGAGGCCAAATCCAGTCCTCCAGAGCTGCTATCCTGTAACTTTTATTCATTCTCAGATAATCCTGAATATGAATAGCTCAATACTAGACCTCTGCAGAGCTGAATGACATGCTGTGAGGAAGTCCATCCATTTTATCTAGGCATGTTTAAGAAGGATGCATCTAAAGTTTGATAATGGCAGCTCATGAGAACTGCAGCTGGACACCCCTGATCTAAAGGCTTAATGTTCCTCATTCTGCCTAATTCGTGTAACCTTTCATTCTTGTTGCATCAGGGGAGAGTCTGTTTGTGCAACTAGATGACAGAAATAGACAGTCCCTTTTTACTTCTCAGAACTCAGAAGTAGCTCATTCTGCTAACCCATCTACAAAAACTAGCCACAAGTTAGATTTGCATAAAAAAAACAAGTTAGACCAAGAATGACAGATGAAAATATGAAGAAAAAATAGTAAGTAGATCGTTTTTTTACTTACTTTTTTCACTTCTAAAGAAAAAATATGTTTGATGTAGCTTTCAATCATCGCTTTGTAAGATAAAGAATATTTCCACAAAGAAAGGTTCACCCTAACTCATCTTATGGAGGGACATGGGGAGCAGAGAGTCCAGAGACATTTCCATGAATCGGAATTGGTGGTTTATCGAGGTAAACTCAGGTTCACTTGGACAGTTCAGTACTTCAAAGATTGTTCGGCTCCTATCTGGGTCTAACATTGTCTCTGAAACAATCAATGTTCTGAAAAAGTTAAGCATGGTGGTGCATGAACACCCTCTGCTGTTTTTCTCCTCACCAATGTTACGTATTAATTTCACCAGAAATCTTTGTGAAACATGGACTGATTCCTCTTAAGTTTGTTCATTATAAAAGCTGAAGATGATAAATTAATGGTAATTAACATGCCTCTTCCCCCTTTTGAACACATCTCCTCGTCTTAAATCGTGTCTATAGTGTGAAGAGCAAAGCTTACTCTCCAGACTAATTCAGGTTCTCTGTATGCTTAAAATCACAAATCATCTAGATCATGCTGTCTGTAAATTCTGGATGGCAGAAAATTATCATCTATATCTCTGCCTTCTGGAATAAAACTTTTTTTTCTTAAATAATTTAGAACAAAGATTTACAACAGCTGTATTTTTGCACAGAGATTAACAAAAACAACTCACTCTGATATCCAACAAATAAGATCTGTATCATTTAATGTAATGAGACTGAAAAGATAAAATAGTTTCTTCATTCTTTAATAATTTGGCTGCAGAGATAATTGTTTTTGGGGGTTTTTTCTGTTGTTTTGTGACCAGCCTTCTTTGTGTCGTACCAATGAAATGTGTTATCTTATTACATCTTCACCTGTTGAATTATGTTTCATTAGGACTTTAATTGTTCAAAGCATTCAGAAAAACGGCTCACGTAATATTAGATGAGATCCAAGAAGGTAAATTCATATGAAAGATCACACAGATATGAACAGACTCACCTGTTCAGCTTTACTGTTTATGATCACCAGATCACTTCTTCTGTTTTGGCAGTATGTCCTGCTATCATACCAAGTTTTTCTCTCCTCGCCTTTAAAGTAACAGCTGCATCCAAATCTGGTCCATCCATCTGGGCACCACTTTCCTTTATACAAGGTCAGAGTCTTAGTAAGCGTTATGTTAAGTTCATCAGTCAACATTTGCTAAATCATATATTCCAACAACATTGATTTTCTTTTTCTTTAGATTATTCCTAACAAGCTTCTTTTTTTCAGGGTTTTGTTTTCTGATTAGCAAAACAAATTAAATTTTGAAAAATGCAAACCATGGTTCTGGGTGTGTAATACATATTTTTATTTCCTGTTTTTCCACGTTTTTTCTTACCTGTAATCGTTTTGTTCAATCTGTTTACTTGATCAGTCAGTTGACTGTGATTTTTGCTGAGTATTTCGTAGCTGTTCTGTAGCTGATTGTAGTTGGCTGTCATTTCTGAAGGACAACATGGTTAATAAGTGAAGCAAAAAACAGTTTAACAATTGTGAATATACTGGTTAAATATGAAATAAGCCCTTGTTTGGCTTGTAACTCTAGCTTGTAATTGTCTCCTATGTCTGAAAAATAACATTTGTCAATTGATTAACAGAAACCAAAAACAAAAAAGAACACATTTAATGGGTAATTATTTATTTGGTGTTTATGTTTGAAATGTCTCTTACCTGACAGATGGCTGTGGCTGTTCTTCAGTTTGATGATTTCCAGAGTGACTAAAGGATGAATGAAACAAAACTATTAAATCAGCAGTTTCAAAGTGGCTTATGAATATTATCATGAATTTTACCATACTTATTCCCAGCTGATCAGGTAAATTTACAGTTTTTAAAGATGTGTCAGGCAAGATTTTCAAAATAAATATTTTTCTTACTAATACAGTGAATGAGGAAGTTTCTGTCATAATGATGATTTCAGCAATTCAATGCAATGGACTGTCCGCTCTCCCTAAGGGCTTATTCAGGAGGAGGAAGTTGGTGTGTTTGTGTGTTTCCTTTGTGAGTTTGGGTTCTGTTGGCTCTGTCTGCCTACACACCTGAGGATAACCACCTCATAGGAGACTAAGAAACTCCAGGACCGTCACTAGTTGACCAGAACTCTAGCCCTCCTGCCAACCTCTTGTGGCTTTATTAAAAACCTTGATTTTCAACTTACTTTGTTTTCAAGTGATCTCAAGTTATCTCCACTTCCAAGCATCTCAAGATCCGTCTGTGGAACAAGTTGCTCACTTGTTTCCTCCATCTCTGATGCCCTCAGATACTTATCCAGACCCCCATCCGCTTTGGATCCTCAGACTCACCAGCATTCCCAGAACTCACCTCTGGAACATCTCATTGCTCCTCACGCCACACCAGAACCTGACTTTTCCCGCAAACACCTACCTTCAGCTTCAAACCACAGTTAGCCGCCAGTCTTACCAGCCACTGTTGCATTTTTAATTTTTGAACGCAGAATAACTTACCTCTCTGCTGTTCAGAAAATCCAGAACCTGATCTGTCCAGAATGGCTTCAGTCTTAACTAAACCTCCTTTCACCAGGCTCCTTGGTTTGATTGTGCAAGTGGGTCAGGAAATTACCAACCACCATTGCTGCAAAGTTAGTGACTCGATGCAGGTGGTTGGTTTCCTTAGATGAAAAATGTTTTACTAATTTACATAGTAAACTGAAACTCACTGCATTGTTCTATAACTAGAATCAAATTTGAATGCATGGAATTGACTTTGAGTCTTTCTATATATGACTGAGCTCAATGTCATTTTGATGTAACTGGATTTCCTTATCAGTAAAGTGCCTTGGAATAACTTTTGTGAATCTGTGCTTTATAAATAAGCTGAAGTGAACTGAATTAAGCTCAACCTATTTATTTGTTTTTCAAAGAACCGGTTCAAAATTTATCAACCAATGAAAACAAGTTATGTTACAAAATCTATAGTCTAAGTGAGGTCAATCTTTTAATGCCTTGTTTCTGTTTCTATCCACTTTAGATGTTCTTTTCTTTCACTTGGGCTGGTGAAATTCACTGCAGACAACATATTAAAGACCCACACAGTGGTTTCACTGCAAAATGCTTTCTGCCTCAATCTGACTCCAAATAACTTGTTTCAAAATCATTTGTTCAGTACAGTAAATTTGATGAGCAGTTCGACTTTATACAAGTTCAATTTTGTAGCATTGGTTAATTTTATGCTAATGAAACACTGAATATTTTATTGTATATTTATACTGGTGATCATGAGGATTTCAAAAGTGATTTTTAGCTTTCAGCAGTGCTTTTATTCGAAACTTCTAAAAAAAATAACTTTTTCAGAAGCAGAAATTTTATAAGTCCTCAACAATCTAAAATTAAACAGACTAAAGATTTGATAAAATCACACCTAAACCATTACTTTATTTATTTATTTATTTTTTCATATAAAACCTAGGTTATATAAGTAAAACCTGAGCTTTTAATGGAAATACATTTAAGTGTGGTAAAGATGCTGGTGAAAGTGAAGTCTGGTCACTCTTTGGTGAGCCTCACCACATGCTGCACTTAAAACTGCTGATGATCTTGAATGTGGTTCAGTCAAAACAAATTTACAGAACTTCTTTTGAGTGTGAGGATAATCATGACTTTGCTGTGCTCTTTGTGCATTTTACCCACTGCTTTTCCTGACTGTCCGATGCCTGTGGTCACTGCTACAAGTAACTCATCTGCTCTGCATGTTTCCACTGAATCTGTAGAAATTTCAGATTGGATGTTTCTGTATCTCTAGCATTAATTTCACCCATTGAAAATAAGAAAAAAATATTCTGCAGAGAACTAAGCAGATACTAATGTCTGTTCACGAGGGGCTTGATGTTTGCACTACAGTATCTTGGTTCTCTAAACTGCTCTGTTGGATCCTTTTTGTACAAATTAATTACTTCTCTGCCAGCCTGGTTCGCATTGTATGCTTGAAGACCTTACATAGAATTTGGACATTATTACAGATTAATTTTATAGAAGAGTCTTAATACAGTATTGAGGGCAAGTAATGATTCCTCATATTTTGGAAACCTAGTAAATGATGCCAAACATGGAACTTTAAGTACAATGTATGCTATTTATTTTCCTCAATCAGCTAAAAATCACCTCTGAGTGTTATTCTAACAGTAAATTAAATCAGTGATAACTGAATATTTGTTTTCTACTGGTGGAAAAATAAAAAGCAATAAATCTATAAATTGCCAACAATAACCACTGGAACAACACAAACAGCCTTTTAGCAGGTGCTAAACATGGTGTTAAATAAAAACAGTCAATTTTAAAACTATTATCGCTGAAAACAAATAAACTCACAAGTGAACAACGTTACGCTGTAAAAATGTCTGTCGTGATCTATAGCTCTCAGATCAACAGAGCGCTTCTTGATGAAAATTGTAATATAAATACTTTATACATATGTTAATCTGGAATGTGATGAGAATACATTTAGAATATCAGTTTTGATGTTAGTTTTTCTTACAGTACATGGTCAGACTGATGATCCCAGCTAATACCAACATGTACAGCACCATTCTGCTCAGTGTTGCAAATCTAGTAGACACTTTGTTGGCTGCAGGTTGATTTTCAATCTGTTTTCCTACAGAACCAAAGTTAAGAGAGAACAATTAACTTTAGTTGAACACATAAGCTCAAAATGACTCAAATGAGCTGCTGTCCTGTTTGTCTCATTATCTTTACTTACCTCCTCCCAACTGAGGATCATCCATCATGTCATTTATATAATTATAGATATGAACCTTCTTCTCCTCCCACTCTGCTGCTTCTTCTTGCTTTGCTCTGCTGTATCTGACTCTTTGGATTAAATCTGGAGTGGACTTAATATCTGAGAACATCCTGACAAAATAAAACAGCTGAAGAGATGCTGAACTTTGCTCTCCACTTAGTGAACAGGCTTTACTCAGAAATATTGTCTCTAGCAGTGCGGTTAGAGCCACCATTTCCTGTCCAGCCTACTTTCTGATTTTAGAAAGAAAAAAAAAACTTTGATGTAGAAGCATTTAAAGAAACAGGCATCATTGAAGTCTTTTATTTTATTACAAGTAAACATTGCAAATAACTAAAATTTTACTTTTATGATCACATTACTAAAATACTTATTCCTTCATTACCATATAGTTTTTTCTTACACACTGTTAAAAAAAAAAGAAGTTGTTGATGGAAGTTTTTCTTCTTTTGAGCAGCAGTGTTTGCAGGAAGGGTGGCTTAACCCTTCATGCAAAGAGATCAACAAGTACACCACAAATTAGCATATCTATTTCAAACATTAACACTTAGGCTGGTAAACTGTTCTCTATGCGCTTATAAGGAAACAGAAGTAACATTTTTGTTATGTTAGAATCGGTCTCATCAAACAAATGGGCTTTTGTTTTGTTGAGTTTTATGTTTGACTAATAAAGCTGATTGATTCTCAGTAATCATAGGAATAGTTAATTTAATGATTTTATAAAAGCTTGTGTATGATAACCAGTCCTAATGTGCCAACTGCTATTAGTCATTAGTAGACAGGGAGTCTGGAAAATGATTAATATTCCTGTTCTGTTTTCTTTTACAGAAAAGTGTTCTGTCAAAACTGGAGTTATTCATTGCTTGCTGAATCAAACAGAAATCATAATAGCTGTAGAATGTTTCTAGATTATTTATTTTTTGTTATTTGTATTTTGTACTTCTTAAATGTTCCAAGTATCTGTCCAACAGTATCTTCTGTCATATCTGTCCCTCCTTCCCAAACAGTCACCGCAGACAAACGGTGCCCATAGGTGTAGGAAGCGGGGGGGACGCAGGGGACATGTCCCCCCCAATATTGAAGAGAGCCACATTCGTCCCCCCCAATAATTTCACTGCAGTTGCGAAGAATTTTAAAATCTTCCACTCGCATGCTTTTATTTTGAAGGCGCATAACAGCGCATTCAGCAGAGCGCTTCCTGCCCCTCCCCCCTCTGAACGGCTCAGAGTAAAGGCAGCAGCAGACGGAGTCAGAAACTCCGTTTGAAGGAGGTAAACGATCTGTCAGGAATGTTGCCATGAATATCGCTCGTTTATAACATCTTGTTGTCAGTTTACTTTCATATATAGAACTAAATCTTTTTGGTTTAGCTGTTTAAATTCTGGAATAGTCACATGTCCAAAATTTTACCACTAACTTTAACAGTTAGCTAGTCTAGTCACAATGATTTAGACTGAAACAGCAGCAAACTGAGCAACACCTGATCATACTCGACCACTTAACATGTGTTTATATATTATATTATATTATATTATATATATTATATTATATTATATTATATTATATTATATTATATTATATTATATTATATTATATTATATTATAT